CTCCAGTTACCGTCTCCTGCTAAAAGAATTACTATATTCCTTTCTGTCCTATCACGTTATTTATACTTCTTCCTTCATACTCTACATTCTCGAACCTTAACAAAAGCTCTCCCTATCACACCTTCCCCAAAAACCTACCAATGTTTCTTCTTCCGTGCCGATTCCTCTTTCCTAAGCTCTCTTTTCTTTTTTTCCTTTTCTACTTTGTCTTTCTCTGCACTTTCTCTCCCCTAATTTCTCTGCACATATTTTTCATCTCCCTTTTACAACCAGTCTGACCAATTGTCTGTTGGCATGACACCTGAGGAACCCTTCTGCACCATAGTCTCTGGAAGAAAAAACAAACAAACAACACTCCCTACAAATTTAACCAACACCCAACCGCCTATCGGGCTAACCAGAGCTACAGCAGCTGAGTGGGTAGACCTACTGCACTGGAATCCACCAAATACCTGGAACCGTTCCGCAAGACCTAGAATCGAGCGCAAAGAAATCAACTGGTTTACACTAGCTCATAAAAAGATATTGGATATTGTAAGCAGCGGAAGAGTCAAGATAAGGGTCATAGAAATGTTCTTGACATTGTTCTGTGCCAAATTAGTAGCCTGGTCTACAGCTACATAATCAAGTGGTAATAATCTTCGTCCTAATCAAAAACTTCTTTTCATAAATACTCCAGCACTAAATGACTACTTGTGGTAGCTTGCTAATTTGTATGATAAGTGTCATGTAGTTTAGTAAGTTGTATTCATCAATTGTGACGAATCCAAAGTAATGTGTTACGAAACCTGTATCATATTGTCATCTTTTGAGGTTTGAACACTTTTATAGGGTTCTATTGTTTGATATTCCAATTGTTAACAATTGAGTTGGATGTGGTTAAAATATAAGATACAAGGGTGTTATGTTAGTAGAGAATAACTATGTAAAAGATAGGTTATGTGCAGACTTTTCTGATGGTCCCCATGTCTCCGAATCTCTCCCATATTACGACTTTTCTCACCAGACTGTAACTCAAAATCCCCAACTAGCGCCTTCCTAGCTCTCCCACGTCTGCAGTAATATTCATCCTTTTATTCACACGTATCCTGAATTTTGAGCAGTGTGATTGTGCTATTGTTCCTACGTCTTCATCTAGCCCTTTCCCTTCAATGTATCACAACTATTACCATTACTTTCGCTCATAATGGAGTAAAGCTTAATTTGAATGCTGTAGTGATAATAGTAATTTATTCTAAAGCTTTGGAATAATATTCGTGTTCATTATATACACGTTCATGCAAGTACCCAGAAGCTTCCGAATTTAGTCATTCTGTGGCATATTTTCGTCACTGCAACCCTTCGTTAATATTAACCGCTGATTGCCTCGTTTCATTGTGAGTTCTGCAATAAAAAAGAGGATGCATTGGTTGGTATTAGCATTGTATTAGAGTATGGTTTGTGAAATGAGTCGATTTAAGTTGACTGAGTCATTCAATCAAATGAAAACTATAAAGTAGGAAATTGAAGTGCAATTAACCAGCTTTCTTGTCCTGTGCAGACGATATCCACCTGTTGCATCTTCCACTCATGTAACTAGTTCTTTTTGGCTTTTATAACTTTCGTATCTTCACTCTTCCCTCAATCAGTTTACCTTCTACCCATCACATACATGTAAGAAACCGAACAAAGCGTCGAAAAATGAGTGTAATTCAACTTTTCAACTACTTTAGTGCAAAGGGTATGGTCTCAACCTCCTATCATATTGGTTTTATCTTTGTAAGTCATTTGGTGTACAACTGCACTGTCGAAAAAAAATGTTTAGTAGTTTGGTATTAGCTGTGGCGATTTCATTTTGCAGAGACATCTTACACATCCGGGAAATGAATTATAAAGGACTATTAAGAGGAAAATATACCAATTTCCTCAGAATATACGTGTCTCTTGAGTTTTCGTGTAGATGTCTTCAAAGCCGTCGTACTCTCAGTACGAAGACTGACTTCAAACTCAGTATCAAGTCAAATATCACTTAGGAGCAAGATTTCATAATTCTTTAAGCCAACAATTTCATTTGCACATTACAGATGTTCTACAAGGTCCTTGTTAGCGTAGTTATACATGTCGTTCATAGATATTCATCTCATCTTCAGGGTACAAGCCAAGGCTTCACATTAGCAGTGATTTGTAACGTAAGCTGGTGGTTTGTTCATTACAAGGGTCAAAGAGACATTTTGTGAACACGTTAAGGAATTGACTGCTGCGATAATAAATTTCAAGCATTTTGCCTTGTTTTAGGTATGAATGGCGTTGATAATTACCATCCAGATAATCAGAGTCTTCAGACATACAAACTTTTTTTCTTAGAAGTCATAGTCTGTCACAAAAAACGCAATCGTTCTTAAGCAACCAGTACTAGTAAATGACTGTATATCAAAACAGTTCACAACGCTTGTTGGTACCTGCCACAATAGAATCAGAAGATTTACTTCTGTTGCATACACTTACAGCTAATTTCAGTCGGTTCAATTTAGTATTCTCCTCTTTGTTGTTATCTGCATTGAAATATGTAGATGAGGTATGAATATGTTCAAGATATTTCGCAAAAAAATATTTCCCAGCTGTGGCTAGGTTTAGGGAGTTGACTTTTAACCATTAGGTCGTGAGTTTGAACCTGCCGTGCCTACCGAGTTTTGGGCAACCAGATAGTACCATCAATTGTCACACAGTGTGGGTCACTGCATACTACACAAGCGCGCACGTGGTTACTAAGTGCGTTTCTTTTATTTTTCTTATGTCTTCCAGCTGACTTCAGCATATCCTTGATCGTACTGCCAGCAAATACGTGCAGTGACACAAAAAACCTTAATGCTATGGAACTATCCGTTTCGGCAAACAACTAAGTGCTTCCCCTCTTTCAAGAAGTCCCTGAGAAACGTTTCGATGTAAATAAAGAGAAAGAAATTATATTATCAAGATTGCTTTGTTTGTGAGACATTGATAAATGTTCACTTAACCTCACCCGGCCAATATGGTGAATCTACAGAATTCATCCTTCGGAATTTTGGAGATCTGATGGCTAGTTCCCGCCGGTGCAGGCACAGCACTAAGTGCACTGCTTGACTAGATCCCATTTGACAGTACTCTTCTGGCTGTTAATCTGGACGATACAGTGAAGATTAAAGGGAGTATCGAAACTCACTATTGCCTCTTTATACTCTCTTTTTGATCACCTACTGACCGTATTTAGTATAGAGTGGAAGATGAGTTGTAATGGAAACCATCTAGGCTAACACTTAAAATCAGACGTTCAGATGTGGCTGTCATGGAGGGTTATTTCAATCCTCAAGCGAGTAGGCTAAGTTCAGCAAGAAGGCTCTTAGATGGCACTTTCAGAATCCCAGTCGAACGATCAGATAACGATTATCAGTATCGACAACTGCGCTCAGATAGCAATCTTTTTCTGACAGGCACGAACTCCAGACATAGTGACAAATATTGTCTGACATGGTGTCCACCAGACTGAACGGGATAAACAGATTGGTCACATATCTGTATGGTATCGCTAAAGATATACTTTGGAAGATTTCCTCAGCTTTTAGAGCACATGTCTAAACACCACTCATGCATTGGTCCGTGTAAATCTATGCCTGTGGCTAGACAGACGTAGAAAAACAGTGACTTCTAAAATGATGGATTTGCGTAAACACATTCCTACAGTCTCCTAACACAATGAGAAGTAAAAGAAAATCAAATGTAGACTGACAAGAAGTCTACAAAATGACCGTGAGTAATTTTGGGTAGCTATGGCCAAAAAGATGGAAAAGCAGAAGCGATAAGTAAAAGAAGACAATTATTTTGAGTGAGAAAACATGCAAAAAGGCTATTGCTTAAAGAGACCAGAGGGGAAAAGAGTGGGTTTGTGATTAAAACGCAGGATAGACAACTGAAACGACAAGCGGACCATTTGGAGGAACACCGAATGGCATCCAGTCACTTCCGTTGCTGGTTATCCGATCGGATCGGGAACAGGATACGGGGCGTCCCACAGCTCTTGAAGGATCGGAGGTTATAAGTAACCTGAAACGAAGAAGAGCAGCAGGGCTGGATGGAATAGCATTGGTGACCGAAGATTATTGACTGGGTTAACTGAAGTGTTGACTGGTGTATGAGAGTGAGATTTAATACCACCTGGCTGGTCTCAATCAGATTGTTCCAGTCTTCAACAAAGTCTGGAAGTTTTGTTGTGATAACCACATGGGAATCAGCCTAACGAAAATATTTTGTAAGATCCTAGGTTTGATAGTTATTAGACGCCCCAGTGGAGGTCAAAAACAGCAAACCTAAGAAAAGAAGGCAGGTTTTAAAACTGATTGTCAGTGGATGCATTAAGATATTCACTATCTACTAGGTTTCGGAATACAGGCGCTGGACACTAGGTGTACTTTTTGACTTGAAGACAACATTAAACTCTGTCGATCGAGAGGTGTCATCATATTTTCTCTCACTAAATGACTGCCGGTAAGTACTTCGCTGCGTTAAAGACGGTGTAATCAAACACCTGTTTACTGTTAGAGCCTGTGGTGAATTAAGTACTTCTAGTGGTGTTCCTCAAAGATTTCCACTCTCTCCGTTCTTATTTATTTTGTCAGCTACATGCTAATTGAGGTTTATCGCTCCTTGTTTGGCTTTACAGGGATTCATCTTGTTACGGGTAACTCAATGGATCTCGATTAAGCAGATTACACGGCCTTATTAACTCAAGATACTGACAAGATGCAGAGTTTGCTAGACACACTGAATGCCAATTTTAAAATGTTTTGAGAGTGTTTCTCAGCACCCAGATACAAATTGCTGCTCCATGACTGGTTTGTATTGGTCCTTTGTCTAAGATAAAGAGTAAAGGGATTGACGATAATTTAATATAGAAGTCAATTTTGACTTCCCAATTTCGAGTCACTATTTAAATTCGAAAAATTTGATTCACTGTAAATCTGCGTAACTAATAAGTGTTTTTTGTGCAGATGTTTCAGACCGCATGGCATTCATTTTATGTCGTTTGGACTTTGTTCAAACATTATGTTTTCAGTCTACGTAAAGTCGCTGCTTTGTTTGGCATGTTAATGGTGTTTATTATGCTGCACGCTATCAGAAAGCAATACAAAAGTTTGACTGTGGATAACGACAATTTTTCTTCCTAGATTCTCTTGGTGGTCATGTTAACAAACCAGTTTTGTACATACTCACCGCAACATACCAAAGAAGTGTTCAAAAAGCAGAACTTACAAGAATGTGTAACACACTACACAATTTGGACGATATTTTATGGATCCTTGTGGAGGACAGTGCACAACCTACACGGTATTCATTTTTTGTTGAATTTTGTTGGATTTTTGTATTGTTGAATGGTTATGTCACTCAAAGTAACGAGTTGTTTGTAAAATACACGATAAGTCGTAGCAGTTAACATTCATGAATATTTTTATCCTCTTCTTTTGGTTTGTTTGTTAACTGTTCATTGACCGCAACATTCACGGACTAAGCAACATTTTCATTTTATGAAGTTGGTTTTACGAGCTATTTCAATCTACCTGAACCCATTGAGTATTTCTTTTTCCAGAGCTGTAACAAATATCCTACATGATTGTGGCGTTCCTTATGTGCATTTGAACATCCCAACTCCTCCCTCAGAAAAGCCTAGAATTAATGAACCCTATTGGCTACGTCCTAAGGGTATACTTCAGCGTAATCTTGGGCTTCAGTGGTTGCGTCAGAATCTTATTTTGGGTAGAAACAAAGGTGTTTTATATATAGCAGATGATGACAACTCTTATAGTTTGCGCATTTTTGAAGAAGTGAGTTTAGAAAATTTCCGTTATGATAATTTCCCTCGCATTTCGTATGCCAATTTATGGGAGTCTGTTGATGCACCTTTTTAGTAAATTATTACTCGTGGTTGTTTTTCAAATTATTAACTAGATAGCTGCAATCAATAATAGATAACTAAGAGCTCCTAGTTGACTTTGTCGATAATTAGTCGGTAACTCCGGTGATAAAATGTTGGATATTTGAGTTATTTCACTAATGTATTCCAGAACTCTCTGTATGTTATTATTTTAACGGTTAGGTGTCCGATAGTGAACAAACCTTTCTTTACTATTCTCACTGGCTTTTTAGAAAATATTTTATTCATACAATATGATTTAAAATATATTTATATGTTCCACACGTATGAAAATAAGATGTATGCCTTCTAAATACATTATTGCGACCATTTCAAAATATATTTTTTCCAGCGTTTTGGACAAGATGTTGCGTTACAATTGACATTAAATGCCTATTTCTAACTTCTTTGAATGCTAAACATATTGCGATTTTATGGTGAACGCTAATTGAGTTTTCATATTTTGTTGCTGACATTCTCAGTTTGTAAAACTGCTTCATAATTTCAGATGCGTACTACGAGCAGGGTTTCAACATGGCCGGTTGGATTTGCAGGTGAACTTCCATGGGAGGGTTGTGTGACAGCTAGAAGTAAAAGGAATATTACACGCATGTGGTCGGTGTACAAACCAGAGCGCCCATTTCCAATTGATATGGCGGGATTTGCTGTTAATACTGACCTTATTCTTAAAAATGAGAATGCCGGATTCGACTACAAACGCCCACGTGGAATGCAAGAATCACAATTTTTGTTAGATCTTGGTTTGAAAAATTGGAAAGAATTGGAACCGCTGGCAGATGGTTGCCGAAAGGTGGGTAAATCGTTCCTATTTTCATTGGCAGTTGCGTTAATATTTAGAGTTATAGGTTCACAAACGCTTTGAATCTTACCTCTACCTTCATTGTGTGCAGTAAAATGTGTTAAAAGAAACTTAGTTAATAAGATTTCTTTGTATTCTTACTAAACTATGAGATGTGAGAATCGTGTTACTGGAACTTGAACTGTCACGCAGTCATGTCAGGTGCTGCATTGATATTGCCTACTGGCTGATGACTTTGAAAGATCTATACCTCATAATATGCAGCTGGACAACAATCCTTTTATGAATTTTATCTCGCTTTGTACTTTGCTCTTATCACCATCCATTCAATCACCAGACCACCGTTGAAACATGGTTGTTTTTTTTCCGAAAGAAGTAGCTTTCAGTGTATCGCATTAATCCTACATTTTGTGAGTAAGACCTTAGTTGGTGTTAGTAATGACTTTACTCCATTGCCATGAAAATAAAAATAAAATACTTTCCCCGATAAAAAGATTTATTGATAGCACTAATTGGTCTTGTGTAGTTGACATATACCCAGTTTTGTTTTCGTTTCGGAGACATATTCTCTACTAAGTGAATATAATAACTTTATCTAAGAAATCCTGTTATTTTCTTTGAAATTAGGCATTGTAATTAAACTTTTCGTTTGATCATAATTTAACGTCAGGAAATACCTGACATTTATTCCGTTCAGTTATTTAACTTCCAAGTAGTATGCGCCGGTAACTGCTTCCAAGGTTAAAAATAGTGTTCTGAGGCTGTTCAGCTTTTGAGAAATGTCCCAATCTATTTTTTTGTATTTGTGTGAACTTTAATTCACTGTGAACCGGTTTTTGCAATCTTCAAATTCATCACCAAGTTCATTACTGTAGACTTTGAATACCCATTCACGATGAATTCATTGTCAACATATACCTGAGTATTTGAAATTGTTGTCAAAATTCGTTCTCACCAGTTGGTGTTGAACTCCTGTTGACAGGTTAATGAATTCTGTTATTTCGTTTTTCTAGATTTTGGTATGGCATACGCGTACAGCAGAACCAGTATTAGCACTCTGGAATAAGCTGGAATCTCAAGGAGTCATACCTCCAATTATCGATGATTGGCCATAGGGTCTATCACATTTCAATTTCCAGTCGATTCGATAATAAACGAAATATTTTCGAGATTTCCCACCAAGTGTTGTATTCAAGGCAAAGCGAAAAATTGCATAGCCTTTTGCTTCAATTTAGTGAATACATAGTGAACAAATGCAGTTACGAATATCTGGATGTCACATATATTCAGGTATCAAATATGCTGAAGCCACACATTATGAATTATACATTCTTTCGTGCATATTGTGCTGTCTTTATCTTGTCATGCATTGATATTGTAAAATAAAAGTCTTTAAAATTAATAAATCTTTTCTCTACGTCCTTATTTTTCCCATATTCACTTATTACTGTGATATCTAAGTTGTTTTTATCATCTGTCTATGATCGAAAAAATTGTGAATTATTTATCTAATGAGAAAAAAAATTTATTAATTCATAAATTTTGTTCCGTGGGCTAGTTTAAATAAAAGGAGAACGAACTGATTTTCAGAATCGATGGGTCCTATGCATTTTGTTCCATTCTCTTCAGCCACTTACAAGCTAATATATTTTATTTGAGAAGAAATAGCACAGTTGAAAGTTGGGTAATCAAATAGTTATAGAAGAGGTAATTAACTTGTATGGAACGCAATACTGTAATACTGAATGAACTTTTCACTTAATGTTATTAAGTGAAATGATGATTCTAAAATACTTTTGATAATAAATTAATGTTAATTTGTTAGAAGCAGTCAGTGAAAAGCCCTGAATCTTGGTTTTATGCTTGTTCACAATTGCCAGAAAGACGTGTTTGCAACCTTAAGATAACTGGTATCCCCTTAAAAATTCTAACCGGCTCCTGTAAAGCTCAGTGGTAGGATTTCTGAGTGTAGCCCTGTGTGAGGTGAGTTGTAATCTCTCGGATGACATCAGTTCCCTTGAGGCTGCAGGTACTTCTTGCTGATGAGTGCAAACAATCATGAAACCTAGGTTCATGGTTTCCTACCGTTTGTCGCCAACTATAAAACATCAATCAAACTGCACTGCTTAGTTATCACGCTAAAAATTGAGCAGTCGAATTTGATTACCACTAGAAAACATGAAACTCGTTACCCTCACTGTAGGATAATAAATTACATGATTTACTATAACCCTGACTCGTCTTCTAAAACTTTGCACTGACAGCAGAGCGGTGAAGCACTGATGCAAAAACAGTCTTCAACAGTTCGACAGTGTGTCTAAACAACGGTGATACCTAGAAGAAATAATCCAGGATAGAAATCTGTGCATTTTTGTCAATAATATCAAAACGATACGTCTTTTGGTGTTTCGTTCTTAAACTTACTTTGCATGTTGAAACGTGTACTCTGGAATTGATTTCGAATATCCCAGTTCTATTATTTTATTACTATTAGTTTAGACAGACTCTTTTCGAACCATTTTAGTATGATTCTGTTAACCTGAGAGAACTTTTTAAGAGCAGGTTAATGTTTTCTAATGGTGAGTGCTAATTCAAGTTTTTATACAACATCTTTTTATATGGATCATCCTTACCTGAAGTTTGACTCTGTAAGACTGCTGATAACGTGGAAAACAGTATTATTATCTTGGTATTGAAGGAATAGAAGGAAATTCTAAAACAACGGGATATGTGTTTAACTGCATGCACTATTCGAAGAAAAACTTTGATCGCCAGATAAGTCATCGGTCAAATCATTTAACTGTAAGCGATTCCTATTCTGACCGAATAAATAGTATGGCAAGTATTGAACACCGAGTAAAAGGCTGATAATGGATATAGTTTGTATTTCTGTAAGTCATAGCGTGTTTGAAATGAAATAATTTAACCTTTACCACGTTCTCCTGAAGAAGCTCGAACCAGACTTCCGTGCAAAACTTTGGAATAAATTCATTTCAAACACGCCGTGACTTATACAAATACGAACTATATATATTCCTATTATGTCTATCCGTATGCAGGTTACAGAAAACTAGATCTCATATAATAACAGAATATGGTAAAATGACTTAAATGAAAGAATATATTGCGATGACAACTAATTTGGTGCCCCCACCACTTTGTAATTCATCTATTTTTCAGATTGCTGAAGTGTATGCACATATTTGTGTGTTAGTTATCATATTTTCAGAAGAACTATTATTTTAAAGGCGTGAGTATTAAGCGTAAATGTGATAATATGCTACAAGCATGTAATCCAGAAGTACTTAGTTGTTGAATGTCACCACCTTCAAGTACTCTGCATGTAGGTGTATCCATGGCTCTGTGTGTTTTGTAAAGTAAGCGAATACAAATCAGTTATGTAATAATGAACAGGAAATAATGTCTAAAAATGCCATGTAAAAACAATCCAAAGGTAGGATGAAGTAGCCAGTTTGAAAGTCTAATGGTCCGTAACATTGTAGTTATGATGCGATTTGACAACCTTTCTAGCCATTTAATGTGGTGAATGCCAGTACTAAAAGAGAATAATTCATTCAATATCGTAGTGGGTTCAGGAAACCGCACTGTCTTAGGAAAAAAGTATGTGAAGCAGAGGGTGATTCAAGTTCCCTGACATTTGCGATTCTAAATCATTTAGCAAACTTCCATTACCAACATTACTATTTCTATAGTCATCTGTGGTTTTGCATTAATCTTCACGAAAAACATTCTGTTGTCAAATAATGGCAAACATTTGTACCTCAGGAGGATGATTTTGGTGATATTATGTTCCCTTGGCTGGGTGGTTTAATCGTGAAGCCTTCATCGTCATTCTATATAGCATGAATACAAACTTCCGAAGGAAGTGAGCTATAAGGTTTTCTCCACAATTGGCTTAGTAGCTTATCCTAATGACCTTGATTGTGATAGGTCGTTGCTGCCAAAATTTTGTCATTGTCTTCATACGTATTTTCATTGACTGTCCTACCGTGGTTAACAGTTTAGGTGGATGTCAATATGTCTGTTGGTTGCTGAGTGCCACGCTTCTGAAAATTCTTTGGCTTTCTTTATATTTCCTCTATCCAGGATTTTCGCATTTTCCCAGTCGGATTCATGTCCACAACTGTTTATATGTATGGATGTGGGTAAAGTTGTGTCATGACGCCTCGCTGCTAGTTGATATTCGCGTGGATAGATACAAAGAAGACGAGCACTCTATCCGATATAGTGTCTTTCGTAATTCCTGAGTTTCATTTTGTAGATAACGTCTGACTTGTCTTCTTTCTCTAATGTATATTTTGCCTGTATAGTGTAGAGTGAAGATATTTTATCGGCTTGTGGACTACAGCGGTTTCGAAAAGCTTCTATGATCTAGTTGAAATCTCTGATATGTTCTTCATGTAAAAAAATCAGTTTATTGGTTTCCAGGGCTAACTTTTTAGTTGACGGTCAAGTTGAGAAACTTCTTTGATGAAGTTGCATGAATAACCGTTTTTCTATAAAACAGTCATTAAATAGTTATCTTTTTTTTCTCCATAAGGTTGGTGTAGTACAGTGCATCTTCACTCTTTTGAACAATGTTTTTATGCAACTGATTTCGTGTGCTGTTGGGTTTTTGCTACTGCAGTTGAAGATTTGATCCGTAAGAGGTGGTTTTATGTATACTTCAGTTTCTAATTTTCTCGAATCCGTCCTAGTGATCGGAACATTTAACAATGTTGTTCAATTCCCTTTCAGTTGTGAATTTGATGTTGTCGAAAACGTTAATTATTTCACAAGAGTTTTGCAATTCATTTCTGTAAACGGTGAAAAACGTCTCATCTGCATTTTGGACCCAAGGTTTTGGATTAATCAACGATAATACAGCAGTTCCCACTCTTTGCATTAGTGCTTCTGTAATTAGTCCTGATATAGGCCATCCTATTAGTGTTCGTTTCGTCTGTAGAGTTGAGAATATTTTCTAAGTTATAAATCTGTCATTTCTATCAAACTTGAACATTGTAGTTGTGTGTTCTGAGAGGTGTGTATCACTGACGAGAAGAGTCATTGTATCCTTAGCTAGTTTCCATTCGATTAAGGTGTATGGAGCTGTAACTTCGAAAGATCCCATTAGGTCACCGTTGTCTATATGAATATCCTTGATATTCTCTAGAAATAGTGTCGAAGAGTTGACAGAGTGGTCACATGATTCTACCATGTGTTTCAGTTGTATGAAGAGTTTTTTGACAAATTGTATGCTAGAGTTCTTGGAAGAGAAGCGATTGATCGTAAAGAGATGTTTGGTTTGTGTACTTTCGCTTTGTCATCATTTTTCAGTTACTATTTTTCAGTGAGTTGATTTTCGAAAGAATTGTGTAAAAGTATTCAATTTTAAAAACTTCTATGCCACTTAAAGCATATGTGATTTTTTTAAAAAGCATTTCAGTGCTATGGAAACTTTGCACGAAATAGCATCCTCCGCTTTAAAGGATAACCCATACTTTAGTGCTGGTGCGGGACTTTTTGGAGTTGGAGTTGGAATGGCTGCTCTTAGAAGAATAAGCCAAGTTATGAATCTTCTTGTTCGACGCAATCTTACTCTCACCTTAGAAGTTGCGAGTTATGACAAGGCATATCCTTGGGTTTTGCATTGGATTACAATGAAATCTAATGGATCTGTAGTTAACGGTGCAAAAAGGAGTATGGGTGGTGCAAGTCAGCATCTTAGTGTAGAAACTAGCGTGGTACGTACAGAAGGTGGTCGAGTTAAAGCGGCATTCGACTTTGTACCTAGTGTTGGTGTTCACTATATGATTCATCAGATGAGAGTAATTCGTATTGAACGTGTTCGGGCTCAGCAATCTCTTCAAGGTGCTTCCGTAGCTCCATTCGAAAGCGTAACTCTTACTACCTTTGGTCGGAATACCAGGTTTTTTATGGATCTACTCGAAGAAGCTAGAGAAGAAGCTTTGGCGCGAGAAAAAGGATGGACTGTTGTTTACAAGGTATATTCATATATATATATATATATATATAATTTTTTTGTGACCATGATTACGCTGTACAACTTTTGAAAATGATCCGTCGTAAAGAAAACTTTCTTCACTGAATCGTCTTTTATTCGATTTTTGTTGTCCTTGATTATAATCTACGTGGTTGTAGTTAGCAGTGGAGTGCAGAACGAGTGTTTCGTCCTATTTGGAACTCATCAGCCGAATGTACCTGCGCCCCAGTGAGTGATGTTGTTCCCACTGTAACTCGAACCTCGTACCCATCTCTCGAAACCCTAAGTAAATTATGAGAATAAATATCCAGGCAATGTCGAGACATCTGCATAGAAGTCCATCTGTCAACAGAAGTCCAACAGCTTGACCCAGTATAACGACTGAGAATTCCAAGTATATTAATAAATAGTAATAACTAATACCTGTTTTGCAAGAAGTGGCTGTCGTCCCCCAGTAGAAACAGTATCACTTACTGGGTGCAGGCACGTTCAGCTGATGAGCCTCAAGTAGGACGAAACGCGCATCGTAGATTCCACTACCAGCCGCCACTGAGCAAATTACAAGAGGGAACGAATTTGATACCTTTCTTTGTTTATGAGGTGCAGGTTCTTGTTTGAGTACTCTCAGACTTTACATCTGCACGTCTTCTGATCTGTAGACTAATTCACAGAGGACAGAAGTTAGTGATATGCGGAAATGATTGATGACTACTTCTCAGTGAGAGGTTTGTTTTCTTTCTAATGGTCGGTCAACATAAATTTGGGATTATCTTTGGTATGTCACTAATAATCTTTGTTCGGATTTTTTCGTTTCTTGTTCCGTTTCCATAAAGCATCACAGACCGATAGCTGCTACCTTGAAGTGGTAATGGAGCTTTCAAATCACAGCGACCCTACAAGCTGTACTGCTGGGACGCTTGTTCCCTTGAGGTCGTAAAATACTATACAAGTCTTTTGGATAGTGGTATGACAAAAGGCAGTTACTGTTATAGTGTGAATTGCTATGCTATTATAGGAGTCTGTGAGAGAGATCGTGCTGCTAGCCGGATGGAGGTATGGAAGCAGTAAGATGTCTCCTACAGATAACTGATGGTTTATGCTGATGCTGTCTTCCTTATGGGAAGGCGGGGTTAGAAAAGGTCGGCCTCAAAAGTCACACACTGCCCTACAGTTTCGTTGCCCACCTTATGTGTTTTCTAGCTGAATTCAACACAGTGAAACTTCAATCTTGACCTATCAGAAGAGCAGAGTGTGATAATTCTCAAGCAAATTGTTATTGGTCTCTGTGGTCATGTCTGACCACTGATACAATTTCATCTTCAGCTACCTCAAGAAAAAGCAACTGTCCATAGTGTGGGCAGCTGGGAAGTATCATTCAGCCTCATACGAAACCTAACTAACTATAGGCTACTTTTCTTAACTTTGCCTTCTCCCTTACCTTCACTTTTTGATATCAGTATTAAACATCTTACAACTTACCCAACCTCTTACCTCGTAACTACCGATAAATATCTAAGCCAGAAAAATGCCACTCATAGTTTCCTAAGACCATTCGTTTCTTGTTCCATTTTCCGTATTACAGAAAACAGCTCACATTTTCGAATTCTGTATATCGTTTTCTCATTTCAATGTGCTTTGATTCGCCGGCACTAACGTTCTTGATGATGTAATTGAGTAGGATGTCAGTAGCTTCAAGAAATCATTTTTCTTTACATTTTCTTTACATTCAGTAATTAGGTTCAAAAGAGCCTTTGTTTTATCTACGGAAAAAATGTTAACCAAGCTACTTTGAACAAATCAAGACCATCCATAACGTTTATCCCTGTTTATTTCCCAACCACAATTCTTTCATTTCTCAAGTTAATGTTTCTTACTCTATACTTTAGGCTGTCGGTTCAGAATGGCGTCAGTTTGGCTATCCTCGCCCACGGCGACCTTTAAATTCAGTAATACTGCGTGAAGGTGTAACTGAAGCTATTGTAGCAGATGTGAAAGAATTTGTTGGTAGGTAAGCTTTTCACCAGAAAGTTATTTTATTTATCTCGTTTGTGAAATCCCTATATATTTTGCTGATGTTATTGACTGTAAATAATTTATTATTATTATGAAGAAGGGTAGGCATGAATAATAATTCCACTATGACATATTATCAGAATTTACATGGAACAGGCGGTTAAATGTTCTTGGTCAGTATAGATGCCGGAAATCTGATCATTGATTTGTACACATTAAATTAACATGGAAAATTTCACACACAGAAATGTAAGTTTTTATTCTTCGCGTTTGGAACTGTATTCAGTCATCTATAAAGGTTTGCCAGACTATTAATGGCAAATCATTGAACTAGTCTTGATCGTAAAGTTTTCAATTTACTGTATTTTGCAACTTATGGCTAAATGTTGTGGACGTATTTAGTGAGCTATCTTTTTCTGCTCATACAATATATATAACCTGATTGATTATTTAAGTGGTTGGTAGATTGGCCTTTAAACTCACTCTTTCTGAGCATGAGATTTAGTGCATACAGTAAACGTTAGTTATAATAATGTTCTAGAAAGAAAGGAACGATAATATACTGTTCGAAAAGAACTATTGTAAAACTTAATCTTCATTTATTTCATGTTTATCTTTAAGTAGTTTATAAAATATGGTGAATGCACAATTTGTGATTTATTTTCAAGACTAACTACTGCTACAGTACTCAGAATTTAAAGTAATACTACGCAAGGCGGTCTGTGTAGTACTAATTAAATAGAATGAACAAAAAACATTCTTTTCAATCACTTTTTCTTCAGACAGTTTCTTGACATAAGTACCATTTTACTCATTAAATTATGTATCTTTGCTTGTCGTATTCTTCATTCATGCACACCCACCTATTGTATTTATAAGAATGTCTTTGTTCATCCGACTTTACAATCACGTTTCATTACATTTCGTTCCCTCTCCACCTCTGGTACACTTTGCTCACATGAATTTTATCATCGAAGTATATATGATTCATTTTCATTTTCTGTTGTTACATAAGACGTGTAATCATCTATATGTATTTGTAGGTTTATAGAGATTCTATTTTTATGGTAATATTCACGAATTGACATGAGTTGAAGGACTATTGAAAACCTGGGAGAACTGGATCCTCTGTTTCCTTCTACTATGGGACTCTTCAGTCGCACACATCCACTACCCGGTCAGTGGTCGAAATCAGGACCTTCAGGTTTCATAGTGAACTTGTTAACTCATATCAGCCCGTGATAAATACTATCTTAAAAATTAAAATCTCCATAAACCTCAAAATACATTACTGCATAGTGCCCACTAGTGACATACTTCGAGATAGATATCCCGAAGTACCAATGAGAAGCCTTGACCAATGGGATCAACCAGTCAGAAGTGAACCGAATGCCAACTGAAGACTGTGAGTGATATTCGCACTATATTGCGATTTGACAAAAGTAAGAAACTGTGGACTATTGGATTCTGATCCAATGGCTGAATGGTTAGCGCATTTACTACAAAACCTGAAGGTAGTGAGTTCGATCGTCGACGATGTCATGAGTGCGTGATGGTGGCTGAGGGGTCCTATACTATGACAAAACAGCTGCCCATTACTCCCAGGTTTTCAATAGTCCTCCATCTCATGTCAGTCCGTGATAATCATCTATATAATCATTTTGATCTGATTCTGGCATTACTTTTCACACAAGACGTTTCTGAAGAGAAAACCCAGATTGCATAATATTATTAACGAGTTGTTATAAAAAATCTCACTGTTGTGAACGTAGATGTAAACAATATCGACGTATAACTATAAAACTTGAAGACAAAGTCACTGGAAAGAATATTCTTTATTCATTCAAATATCTTTTGATTTATATGAAGAATTTTCAAGGAGTTTATCTAGAAATAGCTGATACTGAGCTTTTTCTGTCAATTAAAAGTTATGTATGCTATTTGTAACCTCATTTTGAATATATTTCCCATTAGGCAATATAATAAATAGTGTTTTCTTTCCTAGGAGTACAATACAATCATTGTTTTCTGAATATTCTCTTAAGAACAGAAAAACACTAGGGAAAAATACTGATCTACAAAGTAACTTGTTTTACCAACATTTCTCCGAATTCGCTTATGAAGAAAATCAACGATGGAAGCTAATTTGATGAAACAACTTTTGCTTGTTTTCAATATTCGCTAGCAGAAGTCAATGTTCTTGTGTCCCTCCATACATATGGTTTATTTTTAGGGGTCGGCGTAAAAATACCAATTGTTACATGTTTCAATATGGAGGTTTGTGGAGATTTATAGGTTTCAATTTGGTATTCATCTCAGACTAACATCAGTTGAAGAACCACTGAAAACCTGGTAGCACCGGATAGCTGTTTCGTCTTAGTATTGAATTCCTCAGCAGTGTGTACCCATGACCCCATCAGGTAGTTGGACCCGGGACCCTCAGATTTCGTGGTGAGCACGTAACCATTGAGCCACTGAGTCAGGATCCAATGGTCCACTGTTTTCTACTTCCGTCAGTCCGCGATGTAGTGCGACCTGCATATGTAATAGTGAACCCACTAGAATGATTTGTGAAGCTGATTATTAAGTGTTATATCCATATTCAGTGTAAATTGAAAAGTAAATCTTATCAAGTGAAAACCCACACAACATTTTCATCGCAGCATACAGCCACATTTGCGAAAAGTCACTAACGGTGCAGTATTACGAGATGTGCTTTTTCAACTGTATTTGTTATAACAGATCAAAGAAATGGAAATAGGAATCCCATGATAAGCATTATCACTGGTATTATTTTATTTATTTCTAAAGACATTTTACTTAAGACTTATTTTATCGTATCATTCCCTGAAAAAATGATTTCTATAAGGTCACGAAACGTCAGAAGTTTGTTTTTCTACCTCATTGGGATTTAAAAAATATTTTTCATTTATACCAGAGCTTTTCAGTAAATTTTCACTCACACTTCTACAGAAATTATGGTCACAAAATAACTGCATATTCAGTAAAGTTGGTTATTGTGCATTACCGCAATGTTTATTTATTAATTTAGTTCATTTTAATGAATTATGATGCGTTGTGGACTTTTAGTTCTACCGCATAAAACACAAGGAGAGTGAGCATGGCAACAAGTGAAGTGATACATCCAGATATTGAAATATCATTTTCATTGTACAATCATCAAAATGTTCACGATGATTTATTTTGTTTGTCACTATACCTTTCATTTAGTCTTTGGTTTCTATTGTATAGAGAAAGAAGAAGAAAGACTGATAATTGAAGGGTTTCAAATATTTACCCTTGATAAGAAGCGAAGTGGTTGAATGTGTCGACCACTTAACTTACTTTGGGAGTTGCATCAACTCGAACAGACTGGTTGCTGATGAAATGTATCCTGAGATACAGAAGGCCCATTTAGCATTCGCCAACATGCCTCGTCTCTAGCACCGACTGGCGAAATACCCGACTATCTGTCAAAAGACGAGTAATTGCTCTGCAGTCCGTTCTGTACTGTTGTACAGCTGTGAGACATGGCCGTTAAAAGTAGAAGACGTGAAGCGAGTACAGGGTTTCAATCACAGATATCTTCGTAGCATTACTCGCGTTTGGTGGAATCACCATGTAAGCAATGTTGTGGTCAGGCGAAAGGTACAAGGCAAGATAGGCAAGTCGATTGATGCGGTTGTGAACCTAAGTTATCTGAGATGGCTTGTACACATGTACTGGGCATGCCGAGCCCCCGCGTACCTCGACGTGCCACGCTAGGCAAAGTTGGATTGGGTTGGAAGAGAGTTCAGCGTGGCGAGACCAAGACGTGGCATCAGTCGATGAAGTCTCTTACCGTTGGGTTGAGCTGTGGACTACCTGGCTGGAGTCCATAGGACGGTAAGAATCAGTGGTTAAGGACTGTTGGTGAAGTGACTGGAATTCAGTCACAATGGCTCAGATGTATTCAATCTTTTACCTCTTCTAAACTTGATATTTGCTCTAACTTTTGTCTTCAAATTATTTATTCTCTCATCCAACTTTGTTTAACTTTGACATCACCCTTTTTCTGTCCACTTATTCTTTGCATACTACTATGAAGTGTGGCAACTTAAACCGATGAACTTGTACGCGAGGTTCTTCTTTGATTATTTTTGTCTGCATATTCTCATACACTTCATTGTTATCTAGCGAAATCAACGAGTCATAAGCGAAAAGCATAAGTTGTTCACTTTATTTATGTATGATACTAAAGCAATTGTGGATTCCTCTCATTTTATTCACATGTTCGTTCTATCCTTCAAGTCTAAAACCGGATTTCCTGTCTTGTAATTCTATTGTTGGAAAAAAGATTAGCACAGGAAACATCTATACACATACTTAGTGAAATAAATTCTGTTTATTTTTCTTCACTTTCAGACAACCAAAATTGGTATACCGATCGTGGTATACCATACCATCGTGGTTATCTTTATATGGGCCTCCAGGATGCGGCAAAACCAGTTTTATAACAGCGTTAGCAGGTAACAGTTTTGCATCTGTTATATATCAGTTATTGGCAGACTTTTGCAACGATTTTACTTCATCACTTAATAACCTGATGACGTGCTTTTTTCTACTTTAAATGAAATAATGATTACGAAAGAATGGTTAATGAAATCAACGTTATGATTTACTAGGGAAATTTATTGCGCATAGTCTCATAGTTGTCAACTCAACCAATATGATAAAATATAGGACCAGATTTTGATTCAAATAACATTCAAATTTCAGGGTTCCCTAATACATTGTTAACGGACCACTCGAAGCTTTTTAAAACTTCTTCTTTGGATCGTATGTGATTAATTTCAGGAGTAACAAGGTGCATAACTCCTTTACTTAAAAAAACTGTGGGTCACAGTGATCCTCACTAAAGGCATGTAACCGAAATTATTGCTCATGTGGTTCCATGGAATGCAAGTCAACTAAGGATATATAAGGATATATATATAAGGATATATATATATATATATATATATATATATATATATATATATATATATATATATATTTCTTCATCAAATTCTTTTTATGATGTGTTAAAGGGCAATTCTTATCAAAAATAATTTAGTTAACTGTACACTAATAAAATCAACTGACCATTAGGCTATTTGTTATGAACAATGAAGTTAAGCTTTTTCAAAAAGAATTTCTCTGAAATTAATTCAATAATTAGGACTGTAAATGTGAAATAGTGATAATATTGACCATAAAAGTTATGGCTTTATTCAAAATGCTATTCCATTTTTTAATATCATTAACACTCACTCACTCAAATTTTCTCCTGATTACTTTGTGTAAAGTTCACGTTACTATTTATTGTATTTATAGGAAATTCGAATATCAAGGTGTCTTCTTTTGTATTATAAGTTTCGATAACCCATTTTAGTTGATTTATTAGATGGATCACATAGTGGAACAGTGTTGTTTCCTGGATAACTTTTCGAATACAATTTGTTCTATATAGTCATATCAAGATGGCTTCGCGACTTTGAGATATGGTTTATACAGTTCTAATTTTCTTGCCATCTTAGTGATACAGGATTTTTCATATATGCGGAACACGGTATTGAGTTATCCCTGTTGTGTGTATTTGGTGTTAATTCGATAAACAGAGATTTAGTTATCAATCTTCCCCTTCATCCAACTAAGTTAGTACTAAGAATTGTCACTCTATCCCATCCTATAGTGTGTAACCGCATGCATCGCTGTTTGACCGAGCTTATCTTACTAGGATCTCCCAATTTCGATCTAGCTAGATTTTTGTGCTCGGATAGCCTGCTTTGACCTCACAATCGTTGCAAGGGATTTGATAGTGTTCTGCCTAATTGAATCAATAGAATCACTTAACCTGGAAAGCTTATTCCTAGCGTTATAGAGAACCCCGCGTAATGTCTCTCGTGTGCTTTCCTGGTATGATAATATTGTAGAGGTTTTGAATTCTCTCTTCACAGTATTGCCACTATTATTATTATTATTATTATTATTATTATTATTATTATTATTATTATTATTATTAACATCTCTGTTACAACTATTAGTCAAACTTTTCTTATGTTTACTGAGGAATTTATCAAGTAATTTAAAAGGGCAATATATTTTACTCTTAGAGAGTTGTTTTTTACACTCAATAATGATTGAATATCAATGGGAATAAAAATGAAGGAGTCAGATTAAGGTGAATTTTTCGCATACGTGATTTGCATACATGAGATTGGTTGCTCTCCAGTGACCAATCAGTGCACGTAATCCAGTCCTACAGGAGATCAGTCGCGGCCCGAATGGCTCAGTGGTAACACTGGGTGATGTGGGTTCTAATTTCACAGGCGACAACAGTTGCGTCAAAGTTGCAGACACCCCTTGCTGACGGGTGCCAACAAAGCATGAAAAATATGTCAGTGATTGGACTTTCAAACGTACCAGCTGAAAATTGTTTTTCTCTTTGAAGAGTGTAGATTGTATTACATTTCGATAATCTAATGATCAGGACTTATGTATTGCTAACTTTCTGGCTTCATTTATCGTTAACGCTGCTATTGAAACAATTTTTCAGGTCATTTAGATTATAGCATCAGCATATTAAACTTGAGTGAATTTGGTATGACAGCTGATAGACTGGATCATCTACTTACACATGCACCACTTCAAACTATCATCTTACTGGAAGATATTGACGCTGCAGTACATAGTCGTAATAAACCAAATAATGATTTTCTTCAGAATAAAGGTTGGTCATGTATAGCTTATTTGTAACAAATTTTTTGCAGCTTATGAAGGTATGCCAACACTTACTTTAAGTGGTTTATTAAACGCACTGGATGGCGTAACGTCCACAGATGGTCGTATTATATTCATGACAACAAACTATATTGACAGGTGAGTATTCTGGATTGGCATATATAGTTCTTTATGATTATTACTCTTCATTTACAGTTGAGTGGTTTATAGCTATACTGAAATGTTTTCCCATATTCTATTCATTCGTAACTAGTAGTTCGTCATGGAAAGAAACTGATGCAAGTACTTGCAATGACATACTACTTACCTTCAAGTTTTTATAAACTAATGTTTAGTGACCATCAAAACTTTGAGAAAATGATCGAACCATTCTTTAATCGGTTGCATTTTAGTGTCCGATGAATCAATATAGATTGGTGTCAACATTTTATTGCATCACTAAACTGTTTGAATGCTGCTAATTCCATAGGATACCGATATAAGATAGGTACTTAAGCACTGTGGAAAGTATAGTTACTTTGTATATTACGTTTATTACAATGTTTAATAGCCATATTTACTGCAGTTAGTAAGCAATACTTCCATATGAAGTTTAAAAACAGTATTTCCGACGTTATAATGATTTAGTAACAACAGACAACTTTTGTGAGAAAACTGAAGTTATTTTCAGTAGTGTTTACGAGCCCTGGTATCTGACTCCAAATTTATGTACGCTTCCCGAAATACTACCCCCTTTCTCATTATTCCCGACACTACTGATTCACCGGCGGCAGATAGTGTAAATAGCAGAAGACAATGCAAAGTATAAATTAGGATGTTGTATTAACAAACGAGCCGACAAAAACTTTGAGACCAGTATAATTAAACAAAATGTTCAATTATGAGGTGTTAAATATATCAAAAAAATAATACGAAATATATGCTACAGAGTAACGTCACCAACGATACGTGGTCATACTGACACATAATTGTAATTCCGCTGAAACTGTATTTAAATAATTCATCATCATTATCAACATAGGACCAGGCATTACTGCGTAACGGTCCGAGTTGCCACACCTCATATCAGCACATCAAGTAAAAAGGTAGTGAGGTGAAGGATGAAGATAAGTGAATGCAGTCAAAAGAAATATAAAGTACGAGAAGAAAGGAAAGAGGAGTGACAAAATAGTGAGATTCGGTATAGCGTTGTTAAGATGAGGATAATGTGTGTATACATCTGCGCCACTGACTTCGGTTCTGAGCCATATCACCTAGGGTCTCCAACCACTGGTTCCTCTTGTCCCGTGGACCCCAACCACCTAGTCTGCATCGTCCTACATGGCTTAAACCAACAGTCAGAGACTTCATACATTGGTGCCATGTTTTAGTCTGGCCACCTCGGGCCTTTTTCCAGCCTGAACCCACCTCAGCCAACATTGTGTGACGAGGCAATCGGTGACTAGGCATACGTAGTACGTGTCCCAACCATCTCAGTCGATGAAGGTTCACAACCTCGTCGACTGACTTACCTCTTCTCCCTAAAACTCTACACCTAACTTCTGCATTACTCACATGGTGACACCACGGAATACGTCCTATACTACGAAGGCAACGGTGGTCAAACACCTGAACCCTTTTTGTCTTCCACTTTCAATGGCCATGTTTCACAGCCATACAGTAGAACAGAGCGGACTGCTGTGCAGTACACGCGACCCTTAATAGACAAACGAATATCACGGCGGCGCCATAGGTGGCGCAAATTGGCAAAAGCCAATCGAGCCTTTTGTATCCGTGCAGAAATCTCATCGGCAACTAACCCACCGGGTTGATCCTACTTCCCAGGTAAGTGAAGTGGTCAACACACTCAACCACTTCACTCTCTATTGTTAACCGCGGTACCGCTGAAGACCAGTCCTGGAGCAAAAATTTGCATTTGGGTGGTGAAAATCGCATCCCAAACATTCTCAAATTCCCACTCAAAGTGTTCAGAAGACTCTGCATCTTGTCAGCGTCTTCACCTAACAGGACTATGTCATCTGCATATTCTAGATCGGGTCAACGTCTTTGTAATTAGGTGACGAGAGGGAAACCTCCATAAGAATATCTATGATAAAATTAAATAAGAATGGGGATAGTGGGCATCCTTGACGGACACCACTTGATGAGTATAGCTCCCTGGACAACTCACCATAGGCTCTAACATGCCCACAAGTGTTCGAGTAGAGAGCTTTCAATAAGGTGATGTACTTACTAGGCACGCCTTTCAGTGACAGACACTGCCATAAGACTTCTCGATCAACGGAGTCAAATGCCGCCTTCAGGTCGAGAAATACAGCTATTGTCGGGCGTCTGTAAGCATGCCTATGTTCCAGGACCTGGCGCAGTGTGAATATTTGGTCGATACATCCACGGCCAGGTCTAAAGCCTGCCTGGTTTTCTCGGGCTTGCTGTTCCCGAGCTCCACTCAGGCGTCGGAGAATTATAGAACTTAGGATCTTAGACACTATGTTTGTCAGGCTGATTCCTCTGTGGTTATCACAAGAGGACTTCTCGCCTTTCTTGAAGACTGGGATGATGAGTGACTTAGACCAGTCGGAGGGGATCGTATTTGATTCCCATATACTGGCTAACACTTCCGTTAGCCTGACTAAGAGAACTCTACCACCATTCTTGTATACCTCAGCAGGTAGTCCGTCTGGTCCTGCTGCCCTTCCCCGTTTCAGGCTACCTACCGCTTTCTCAACTTCTTCTAGTGTTGGGGGACCTGTCTCTATGTCCCATTCAGGGTCCGACTGGATAGCGGGCAGCGCAATGGTGGCTGGAGGCCAGTTAAACTGTTCCTCAAAGTGTTCTGCCCATCGTCCCAGTCGCCTTCCCTGCGAGTGAATCGCCGATCCGTCCTTCTCCGCTATAACCTCACTAACTGTTGTTGACCATTTCCCCCCAGTCTCCTTAATAAGTCTAAATAACTGTCTACTGTTACCGATCGCCGCTGCCTTTTCCATCTCTTTAGCCTTTGCTGCCCACCACTGTTCACGATCGTTGCGCAGACTTTTCGTCAGTTTATTTTTAAGTTGCGCTCGCTCTTCATTGTACTCAGAGCCTGCAGGGATGCATTCACGTGCATCCATTAGTTTGGAAGAAGCTGCTGATATCCACTGGCTCTTTTTAGCCATTATCTTGGAGTCGGCTACAGTCTCCAGTGCTGCTTTTACAGTAGACTGAAGATGGCACCAAGCTTCTTCTGGATGAGTGACAGTCTTTTGTTCCGATAACTGCCTAGCCAACTTCTCACTGAACACGGCTTTGGTGTTTTCGTTGTCCAGCAGAACTCGTAGTGGTTTTGTTGCCAAATTTTTTCTACGTCCATTGAGACGCAGGCATATACGTGCTCGGACCAACGCATGATCGCTGTCCAAACACGTACTCCAGAAGGAGCGGCAGTCTTCCACCGATCCTCTCCAGCGATGACTAATAGCAATGTGGTCTATCTGTGTCCATCGCTGAGTCGAGCTCGGTGGACGCCAGGTCAGACAGTGCCTTTCTTTATGTCTGAAATTTGTGCTGGCTAAAAATAGGCGGTTATCTGAGCATAGTTGTAATAGGCGATCACCGTTATCTGTACGTTCAGCTGGGATTCCGAAAGTGCCACCTAAGTGCCTTTCTGCCTCACTCAGTCTACCCACCTGTGCGTTGAGGTCACCTGCAACAACCACTACGTCCGAACGTTTGGCTTTCGAGAGGAGGTTAGACAGTTTATGGTAGAACTCGTCCTTCACTTCATCCGAACTACAGTCAGTGGGTGCGTAAGCAGAGATTACAAAGAGACAACGGCGAGTCTCACTATTCCTTTTAGTTCTCACTGTGCCGTTCAGCCTCATAGCGCAGAGGCGACTATCAACTGGGATCCAGTCTAGTAGTGAGTTTTCTGCCCTGGTGCTTAATGCTATACCTACACCTGCAAGACCACGAGAGCTAGCTATCGAATCTCCAGAAACTCGAAGGGTGAATTTTGCAGATTCACCAGATTGGTCAGGAGAGGTCAGGTGAATAACCACACTTGGGTCCTGTATGCGTGTCTCACAAACACAGCACACATCCATGCCCGAGTTGCTAGAGTCTTTGCCAACGAAGCCTGTTGGCCAATTTGACGGAGGGTGCGGACATTGAAGGCTCCAATATGTAATTTGGAGCGTGGTTTAAGGAGACCAGGGATGCTGTTCTGTGGACTCAGATCGTTGTCGAAGGCTGCAGAGGTAGGAGAAATTGAAGATGATGCAGCATCATTAATTAAGAGACGTGAAGGAAGATTAGAAGGTAATGATGGAGGAGGAGGATAGCAGTCAGAAGAAACTTGGGTGCTGACAGAGTTGTGAGGGCGGTTGACACTTCCCGGCTGCCCACACCGTGGAAGGCTATTTCTTCTTAAGGTACCTGAAAGAGATTTGTGTGACCGCAGAGCCCATCGGACATCTGCTTGAGGCCTGTCACACCCAGCCTTTTGAGTATGATTATTTTGAATTTTTGTATTTTTGGGGCCGGATGATCGAAAGGAAACGACAAGTGAACCAACACCGCCGGCCCGGCAGACCGTGGGGCGTGGTGGAGTGTGTTATTTTTGGGGCCGACCTTTTCTAACCCCCCCTTCCACTGAGAAGGCAGCATCAGCTTGGCACTGCTGGTCATCCAAGGGAAACACCTTACTGCTGTCACACCCCATCCAGCTAGCAGCAGTACGACTTCGCCCTCAGACCCCCATCATAGTGTAGCAATTTACACTATGACGGTAACTGCTTTTCGTCTAACCACTACCCAACAGACCTTTCTGGTATGGTAGGACCTCGAGGGAACAAGCGTTCCACCAGCATAGCTCGTTGGGTCATTGTGATATGCAAGCCCGACCACCACGTCAAGGTAGCAGCTATCGGTCGGGTTGTCCTTTTAATATCCGAAGTCGCAGTCGATATGTCTATGTGATATACCAAAGATGCATAATTTCCATCATATCGAAGTTTATGATTCTTGCACCTCCCGCTTCATATGACTTTCCTTTAGTTTTGATCATTATTTTGTGCATCCCTCTTTAATTCCGATGCCTTGTTATGGTGATGTGACTTGTCGACACTTGAACCGTTACGTAGTAATGCCAGGTCTCATATTGATATTGACTAACTGCTACTGACTTTTTATTGCTATAAAAAAGCATCTTGGAGCTAATATGTATAAAAATTAAAGCCTCCTGAGTAGTTTACTGACCGAACTGTTTGTTTAGTCGACCGATTCACATGAAAAGTGTTAGAATTAATCGTAAGGGGGATGAGGTGGATTTAAGATTTTCGTATGACAGTGTTTTGTTCATGCTAAACCACCATTCTGGGTATATTTGGGTTACTGTCAAACGGAAAGTTAGGAGTTCGAACCCTGCTCTATGTAGCCGGCTTTCGGTAGTCAAATGGTATCATAGAGTCCTTACCCTATACATATCGTCCATTGTCTGAAGCATGAACCCTTCAGATCGTGGGTGATTTACATTTCATTTATTCATCATTTGATTTCATTTCTATTCGTAGGCTTGATCCAGCCCTCATACGACCTGGTCGCGTTGACATGCGCGTACGCTTTGACGTTTGTGATCGATCTCAATTGATAAGAATGTTCAGTCGTTTTTATCCTCAGTGGACGTCATCTGACATTCATCAGTTAGCTGAAAAATTTGCAAACCTACTGGAAGGAACACCATTGAGTTCAGCTCAAATCCAAGGTTTCCTACTGCTACACAAAGATGAACCTTTAAAAGCACTTAGCGATATACAGCAACTAATTTCGCCGTGTGATTCGTGAACTTGTTCAAACCAGTGATGTGAAATATCGTGTAATTTAGGACTTTCGGAAGATATATAACTCATCGTTACATAGTACGTTTATATTTCCAATCACATGTACATTATAATTATTTCTCCCTTGGATTCGTAGTGGAACATAGGGCTTCAGTAGCACGTCGCCATTTCACTCTCTTCTCTGGTCTTTTCAACATCACTCCATGACTGCCCACAAGCTTCCATTTCTTCTTCACATGATCCCCCTCATGTCACTCTCGGACGCCCAACTCGTCGTTTCCCCTTTGAATTCCACTCGAGTGCCTGGCGCGTGATGTCTCCGAACGCCTTTCTCAGTGTATGCCCAATCCAACTCCACTTTCTTCTGCATATTTTTTGGGCGATGGTTTCTTGATTGGCTCTCTCCCAGAGTTCCTTGTTGCTTATTCTTATTATTCTGGCCATCTGATCTTCAGTATCGAGTGAGTGTAGGCGGCAGCTGTTGATGAATGTCTGTAGTTTGTTGGAAATGCTTCTCGTAACGCGCCAAGTTTCTGAACCATCAAATGGAAGCACTAACTTGACATTAGTGTTGAAAATCCGGATGTTGTTCATGCTTTACGCTGAGTGCAGTCGATCTCCACACTGATTTCAGGTTAGTGAAGGCCTGTCTTGCTGTCTTCCCGACCCTGGCTTTAACATCCTCATCTGTGCAGCCGCCTGTAGTTGAAACGATGCTGCGTAGGTTGGTGAACGAGACAACTTCATTTAGATTTCTCCCGTTGATGGTGATTGATGCTGTTGTTGGATGGGTATCTTCATCACCTCTGTCTTCTCTACATTCACTTGAAGCCCCGTTTTCACTGCCTCTTCTGTCAACTTGTTGGTTTTTGCCTGTAGATCTTCGAGTTTGTGCGATATTAGACACAAATCATCGGCGAAATCCAAACGTTCTAGGCTCTTTTCATCGGTCCAGCGTATGCCCGTCTTCTCACTCCTCATGGTTTGTTGCATGATCCAGTCGAGTCGACTACAATCAGGAAGATCATGGGTGATAGTAGGCAGCCTTGTCTTACTCCTTCTTGTCTTCACTTCAAAGGCGTCACTGAGCTTTCCATTGTGAATCACTTGGCATGTAGCATCATACAGCATATAGCTGCTGTTGAATGACCTTGATAAAGGTTTGTGGCACTAAAACCGTAGTGTTGAAGCAGCAGGTGGTGGTCGGTCCAAGAGTTTTTTGAAGTGATCATGTCTACATAATTGAGTATTTTTCATCAAATAAAATACCTCACGCAATGATACTTTTTGAAGTGTAACATGCAATATAAATATAACAGTAATCAACGTGACGACTCAATCAATCAATCAAATCCATATCAACATAGGACTAGGCATTACTACGTAACGGTCCGAGTTGCCACAGCTCATATCAGTACATCAAGTAGAAAGGTGGTGAAGTGGAGTATGAAGATAAGAAAATTGAGTCAGAAGAAATATCAAGTACGGGAAGAATGACAAAATGGTAAGAATCGGTATAGCGTTAAGATCAGGATAATGTGTGTATACATCTGCGCCACTGACATCGGTTCTGAGCCATATCCCCTAGAGTCCCCAACCACTGGTTCCTCTTATCCCGCGGACCCCAACCACCTGGTCTGCATCGCCCTATATGGCTTAAACCAACGGTCGGAAACTTCATGCATTAGTGCCATGTTTTAGTCTGGCCACCTCGGGCCTTTTTCCAGCCTGGACCTACTTCAGCCAACACTGTGTGATGAAGCAATCGGTGACTAGGCATACGTAGTACGTGTCCCAACCATCTCAGTCAATGAAGTTTCATAACCTCGTCAACTGATTTACCTCTACTCCTTAAAACTCTATACCTGACTTCTGCATTACTCACTTGGTGACACTATGGAATACGGCCAATACTACGAAGGCAACAGTGGTGAAATACTTGAAGCCTTCTCATGTCTTCCACCTTCAATGGCCATGCTTCACTTGACGACTCAGTTGTTAAAACCTGTGTTTGTTCATAGTGATTTATTCAATTAGCAACAGACAATACCAGTTGTTCAGAAGACAGTGGGTATAGATTATGCATGCAGCTATTTTGCAAACAGTAATCAAAATAAAACCTAATCATCAAGTATCCGAGCCATGGGTGTGTTTCTCATATCATATATGTATATTGCTGAGGTCGTTTCATTAGGAAGTAACGTACTACTAAAACGGAACAACAGCCAGTACAAATAGGTACATGAAGTACAATCTGAGTACTGGAAACCGAACGTAAAGTATTATTAGTAAAGCAGTAGGACACTGTTCGTTCGATTTAATAATAATTCACTAAACTAAGTGCATGTCTACAATGTTTTGTCGGTCGACGTTTTACGGGAATACAGTCTGTGGCTGGTATCACTTATGTTAATGTTTCTATTTTGGTGCTTATACCACTGTTTCAAGAAAAGATTGACTTAGCTAAACAAAGGTAGAATTACCTTTGACGACAGAATCTCTATCTCGTTTTCATTTCATTAACTGTCTAGTAGAAACCGTTTGTTAACAGGATTTTATCCCGTGTGGTTTAACTGATTTCAATATTAAGGTATCTGAATACCTTAGCGAAGTCAGATTACTGTGTGCATTTACCTATCAGTACTTCGTTGGAAGTACTGGGAAAAATCACCGTTGGACTTGTGTTAATATTAAGCACGCTGAAAATAAGCATCGTATGACTTCGGTGCTGTTTTCAGTATTCCGCTGAATGTGATAGGCTGCGTGCATCAGAATATAATACAAGCGAGTGCTTTGTATGACAATGACAGTTTACTCGAAGATCTCTTGGTTTACAGATAATTATGTGCTTTTGGTAGCTTCTGAGAACCAGGTATTCGGTTGACAGAATAAATAAGTCTTCTTATGCCGAATAGTGTCGGCAGTTCACGCATAGTTCATCTATCTTTTTATTGTATTTTCTGTTCTTTATTCAACCAAGCTGGAGTGTTCAGATATACTAAGATGGACTTACCTAATAGTACACTCTATATAGCTAGCTCCATAGCAGCAGTTCAACTGGTAAATTCACACAGAATCAGGAAATCTATCTTTATATCCTGCACCTATAATTAGCCGACTATAGAAGAAAAGACAGCTTTGCAGTGTTGAATGTCCTCTGAAAAGCTTTTCTCAAACGTCGAGTTAAACTTCGCTGATGATATCGCCTTTGAATTTAAGTTCCAAGAAAAAAGGTCTTATAGAATCCAATCACCTTTAGCTTAGCCTTCATCCCCTTTATATCCTTGTTCATGAATTTCGAAGGGTATCCATTCTCGCTAAGTAGGGTGTGCATAATGTCAACCTCCTCGTTTATTATGTCATCAGACCAAATGACATTTGTACAATAAGCCTTCATTTCACCAGTTCTTGCTATAATAGGTGTACGGAGTTTTAGGAGTGAGTGTACTAGCTAATCGGTGTTGGCTTCCGTCCTGCCTACCTTTCTTAAGAACAGAACACCTAGAAAAGAAATATAGTTATTTCGTTCTTCCATTGTGAAGGCGATGAATGCTATTAAATTTATCAGGAACAGTATTCTCATGCGCTTCGTTTTGCAGAACTACAAACGAATCATCAATGGAACAACCATAAAATCCCAACTGAATTGCCTTTTCAGAAGGACCATTTTTAACTCTGACCAGGAAATAATTCGCCCTCATCAGGCATAATGGTAACCGTATGGCTATATCGTCACACTGCCTGTAGAATTTGTCGTTGAAGAGAAAGATAATAATCGTTATACATCTCAAAAGAGACTCTTTCAAAGTGTAGATAAGTCAAATTTTTAATTCGCATTTGGACGCTCCACTGCACATAAAATTTACTGTTTCCAGTAGAGGAATATTATTTAAGAGAGATAAAACACTACATGACATCATGAGTTCATTTACTCTCAAGCCTTTATTCCTTTTAACAAATTCAAAAGTCTTTTAAAGTATGCTTTACAACTTTGTGAGGTAACTTCAGGAGTCCTGCTAGCCGTTCTACAGTTGCATGTTATGGTGAATTGGACTGGCAAACAAAGAGTCCATTTTCAGTACCTTTCGCAAAGCACAAAGTCAAGGTTGTGTAGTCTTTGAAGGTTTTCTAAATAAATTCAAAAGTCAAACCTTGCTGTTCTTCTCTTTCAGTGTTTCTGCTTCTCTGTTTGCTCCGTCATATTGCTACCAGTCACTAACTTCTCAAATTTACTGTTGTCACGAAGACATTCATCTTGTCTATGTGATCACCTCTGTTCATGGGTACTATTTGCGATAGCAATGGACTAGAATTTGGTAATAAAATACCCCCTCCTCATCACAGTTCATATTATTCACCCCCCCTACTATTACGTAATCCTGTTGACACAGTCCCCTTTAACCCTTTACTTCTCGTGTTCATTGCTATACGACTAGTCCAATTACCAACCTGGTTTACTTTTTATTTTACACTATCAATCCTATATAGTTAGCTTATTCATCAATTTTAATCTTCTTCCTCTACCAATTAGCTTTCTGAGTAACTTTAAACTTGAAGTAATTTTAGTCAATTAACCACTTGTAAAGTGTATTCTGTTAATAAATGTAGTGTAGAGCCGTTGACGAAGACCTAATTGGAAAAAATAACTTTTTGTATAATCCGTCTTTTGTTCTCAATAATTTAAAAGCCACATTATGAAGCGATGCATACATGGAAATAAAATTTATACTTTTAGTTCCATGATTAGTCCTCTCTATATATGTTTTTCCACACAAATTTCTGATTTCGTTAGGTACTTACGGGTCCCCAAAACTCTTCTAATGAAAAGATGTGATTATTATAAAACTTTATATATATTGCCAAACATCATTCTCCTAGGTCCTGTGAAGAATTCAAGCAGATTTTGTCTCTGGGTACTAAGTGTCAAAATCCCACTTAACTACAGGCTTCTGTTTTACGATTACACAACACTGTATAGTGTCTCCCACTTTCCAATCGGAGATAAAATCTGTCGCAGACAGATTCCGATTCTTTTCAGCAGCTTCAGACAATTTAGAAGAAACCAGAGCAATACCACAATCAACACCTTTCTTAATACTGTCGACAACTGTTTTTTCGTGGCGCAACGAATAGCATTCAGCTTGATTGACTATAATATCACTGGAAGTAGAATGATCATCTTCATATGTGTGATTAGGATCATTTACAGAACTTTTTCTGTGTTTGTCGACTTGGGAGGAAGAATCGTGCCCCGGACGAACAACACGGTAAGATAATGCAACTGCTTCATCGGTAATACCTAGAATAAAAAGATGAAATAAAGGATATTTCATGTGTTTGATAAATAAACTTTTCATACTTCTTGGAATTAAAGTCAATGGTAGTGGGAGAAAAAGATGAAAAGTTTCGCAATATATTATTACCTTACAGTAAACTACCATGTAGGAGGTGGGAGAACCTTTAGAAACTCACTAAAATGTAATACTTGCTTTTGCTAATATTTTCACCTAACTTTTAGTTTAAGCATGAATGTATAGTCTATCATGCGTATTTTCAATACTTTTCGATTCATATCACCTGTGTAGAGTGGCCAAATTGTATTGTGAACGCGATCACCTTTCATAACAGTTGACAGAATGAAAATATTTTTGATTAAAAGTGTGAGTGAACGGCTTAGCCGGTAAGATGAGAAAATAAAAATAACAGCTGGTCATTATTGTATGCAGTAGATTGATTGTTGCCACTCACAGTGTAAGTTTGTATCACTAATCCGGAGAAAACTAAAGTTATTCCTTTGAGGATTAAAGCTGTTAAAATCCAATCGAAGTGAGCAGCCTTTACAGGTAACAGCAACAGGCAACAATTGCAATACAATTCTGACAGTATCGGTAACTAAATTTGTTTGGGCTACTTTGTTGATAGTTTGTGTACTTGAGAATACTTTTTTGAAACAGGTTTTTATTCTCCATCATTTATTATTTAGTGTGTACACATACGTCACAGCCCACAAAATATGTAATTTTATTGCTAATCCAACGCCATTTAATAAATTTATGGATGTATTTATTGTTTAGCAACCTCGCCAAGGTAACTAGTCCACTAGTTGGTGATAGACCACAGTTGAAGATAAACACCCAGAACAGAAAGTAAACTGAAGGACGAAACTAAAGAGGATATCTTCACGTCAGCCAGCCATCAAAAAAGGGACATATTGAGCAACATCTCTGAAGAAACCGCCGCGGAAGAACACTGGAGCCCTTGAAAGATACGTGGAAAGAAACCTGTATAACCGTCTTAGGAAGAAAGACAAGGAATGGATCTCGACGCACATATGGAAGCTGATACAGGAGAGAAAGATGGTGAAGCAGAAGATGAACCAGTGCAGTGTAGTGCAGGGATGAACAACGAAAAGAGGAACTGAACGCAACCTATAAAACCCCACAATGGACAAAGAAGTGAAGAAGAGTGCGCACAAGGGAAAAAGACACTTCTGTGACAAACTTGCAAGTGACCCCAGAACAGGCTGCTGGTAGGAGAGACCTGACCACAATATATCAAATAACCAGGTTACTATCTGGGAAGAGATCAACACAGATGAAACCAATAGAAGATAATGAAGGAAACTTAGTTACCAAAGAGGAGAGAAAAAAGGAAACGATGGACTGGCCACCACCTGCAACTTGTCTAGAAATACCACCAGCAGCCCAGCCATATATTCATCAGTGAACACAAGCCCTTCAAAAAAAGCCGAAGACCGGAACCCCATTAGGCTGCTGAAATCCAGGAAAGCAGCACGACCAGATGGAATTTCACCAGAAGCACTGAAAACAGGTGCAGAGACAACAGCGGATATGCTCACACCACTATTGCAGAAGGTTTGGAAGGAAGTAAAGGTACCTGCCGATTGGAAGAAGGGCTACCTTGTTAAACTCCCAAAGAAGGGAGACTTACGTCTTTGCAAGAACTGGCGAGGAATCATGCTCCTGTCCACACCAAGCAAAATGTTATACCACATCATCCTGGGGAGATTAAAAGATGCGCTGGATTCAAAATTACGACCGGAGTAGGTTAGCTGGATTCAGGAAGTACAAATCATGTGCGAATCAAATTGCAACGCTACGCATCATCATAGAAGAGAGTATAGAATGGCAGTCAACAAGATCTTTAACTCAACTTCATCGACTTTGAAAGGGCCTTCAACAGCATCGATCGAGAAGTAATTTGGCAGCTGCTGCTTCAACACTACGGTTTTAGTGCCACAAACCTTTATCAAGGTCATTCAACAGCAGCTATATGCTGTATGATGCTACATGCCAAGTGATCCACAATGGAAAGCTCAGTGACGCCTTTGAAGTGAAGACAAGAAGGAGTAAGACAAGGCTGCCTACTATCACCCATGATCTTCCTGATTGTAGTCGACTCGACTGGATCATGCAACAAACCATGAGGAGTGAGAAGACGGGCATACGCTGGACCGATGAAAAGAGCCTAGAACGTTTGGATTTCGCCGATGATTTGTGTCTAATATCGCACAAACTCGAAGATCTACAGGCAAAAACCAACAAGTTGACAGAAGAGGCAGTGAAAACGGGGCTTCAAGTGAATGTAGAGAAGACAGAGGTGATGAAGATACCCATCCAACAACAGCATCAATCACCATCAACGGGAGAAATCTAAATGAAGTTGTCTCGTTCACCAACCTACGCAGCATCGTTTCAACTACAGGCGGCTGCACAGATGAGGATGTTAAAGCCAGGGTCGGGAAGACAGCAAGACAGGCCTTCACTAACCTGAAATCAGTGTGGAGATCGACTGCACTCAGCGTAAAGCATGAACAACATCCGGATTTTCAACACTAATGTCAAGTTAGTGCTTCCATTTGATGGTTCAGAAACTTGGCGCGTTACGAGAAGCATTTCCAACAAACTACAGACATTCATCAACAGCTGCCGCCTACACTCACTCGATACTGAAGATCAGATGGCCAGAATAATAAGAATAAGCAACAAGGAACTCTGGGAGAGAGCCAATCAAGAAACCATCGCCCAAAAAATATGCAGAAGAAAGTGGAGTTGGATTGGGCATACACTGAGAAAGGCGTTCGGAGACATCACGCGCCAGGCACTCGAGTGGAATTCAAAGGGGAAACGACGAGTTGGGCGTCCGAGAGTGACATGAGGGGGATCATGTGAAGAAGAAATGGAAGCTTGTGGGCAGTCATGGAGTGATGTTGAAAAGACCAGAGAAGAGAGTGAAATGGCGACGTGCTACTGAAGCCCTATGTTCCACTAGGAATCTAAGGGAGAAATCATATAATAAGAATTATTGTTTAGCGATAGTTTCAATTTTCTGTTGCTGCACTGAGTCGACTTGCTATTGACATATGGGGATGCCTTGATAAAACCCGGATATTCATTATATTGTAGTGTTATCGTTGGCTATCATTGGAATCCAAGATCATCATCAGTATCGACATAGGACCAGGCATTACTACGTAACGGTCCGAGTTGCCACAGCTCATATCAGTACATCAAGTAGAAAGGTGGTGAAGTGGAGTATGAAGATAAGAAAATTGAGTCAGAAGAAATATCAAGTACGGGAAGAATGACAAAATGGTAAGAATCGGTATAGCGTTAAGATCAGGATAATGTGTGTATACATCTGCGCCACTGACATCGGTTCTGAGCCATATCCCCTAGAGTCCCCAACCACTGGTTCCTCTTATCCCGCGGACCCCAACCACCTGGTCTGCATCGCCCTATATGGCTTAAACCAACGGTCGGAAACTTCATGCATTAGTGCCATGTTTTAGTCTGGCCACCTCGGGCCTTTTTCCAGCCTGGACCTACTTCAGCCAACACTGTGTGATGAGGCAATCGGTGACTAGGCATACGTAGTACGTGTCCCAACCATCTCAGTCAATGAAGTTTCATAACCTCGTCAACTGATTTACCTCTACTCCTTAAAACTCTATACCTGACTTCTGCATTACTCACTTGGTGACACTATGGAATACGGCCAATACTACGAAGGCAACAGTGGTGAAATACTTGAAGCCTTCTCATGTCTTCCACCTTTAATGGCCATGTTTCACAGCCATACAGTAGAACAGACCGGACTGCTGTGCAGTACACGCGACATTTAATAGACAAACGGATATCACGGAGGCGCTATAGGTGGCGTCAGTTGGCAAAAGCCAATCGAGCCTTTTGTATCCGTGCGGAGATTTTATGAGCAACTGACCCACCAGGGCTACTCCTACTTCCCAGGTAAGCGAAGTGATCGATACACTCAACCACTTTACTCTCTACTGTCAGCTGCGGCACCGCTGAAGACCAATCCGGGAGCAACAGTTTGCATTTGGGTGGTGAGAACCGCATCCCAAACATTCTCAAATTGCAACTCAAAGTGTTCAGAAGACTCTGCATCTTGTCAGCATCTTCACCTAACAGGACTATGTCATCTGCATACTCTGGGTCAAACGAAAATTCTCCTGTGTATAGGTCGCCTGTGTAATCTGGTGACGAGAGGGAGACCTCCATAAGAATATCTACGATAAAACTGAGTAAGAATGGAGACAGTGGGCATCCTTGACGGACACCACTCGACGAGTAAAGCTCCCCGGATATCTCACCATAGGCTCTAACATGCCCATAAGTGTTCGAGTAGAGAGCTTTCAATAACGTGATGTACTTACTCGGCACGCCTTTCAGTGACAGACACTGCCATAAGACTTCTCGATCAACGGAGTCAAATGCCGCCTTCAGGTCGAGAAATACAGCTATTGTCGGGCGTCTGTAAGCGTGCCTATGTTCCAGGACCTGGCGCAGTGTGAATATTTGGTGGGTACACCCGCGACAGGGTCTAAAGCCTGCTTGGTTTTCTCGGGCTTGCTGTTCCCGAGCTCCACTCAGGCGTCGGAGAATTATAGGACCTGGAATCTTGGACACTATGTTCGTCAGGCTGATTCCTCTGTGGTTATCACAAGAGGACTTCTCGCCTTTCTTGAAGACTGGGATAATCAGTGATTTAGACCAATCAGAGGGGATCGTATTTGATTCCCATATACTGGTTAACATTTTCGTTTACCTGAATAAGAGCACCTTACCACCATCCTTGTATACCTCTGGGGTTAGTCCCTCTAGTCCAGCCGCCCTTCCTCGTTTCAGGTTACCAACAGCTTTCTCGACTTCTCCTAGCGTTGGGGGGCCTATCTCAATGTTCCATTCAGGATCCGACTGGATAGCGGGCAGCCCAATGGTGGCTGGAGGCCAGTTAAACTGTTCCTCGAAGTGTTCTGCCCATCGTTCCAGTCATCTCTCCTGCGAGTGAATCGCCGATCCGTCCTTCTCCGCTATAGCCTCACTAACTGTTGTTGACCTTCCCCCCCCCCCAGAGCCTGCAGGGATGCGTTCATGTGCATCCATTAGTTCGGAAGAAGCCGCTGATATCCAGTGGCTCTTTTTAGCCACTATTTTGGAGTCGGCTACGGTCTTCAACGCTGATTTTACAGCAAACTGGAAATGGCACTAAGCTTCCTCTGCATGAGTGACAGTCTTTTGTTCCGATAACTGCCTAGCCAACTTCTCACTTGATCACGGCTTTGGTGTTTTCGTTGTCCAGCAGCACTCGTGGTGGTATTTTTTGCCAAATATTCCCTACGCCCATTGAGACGCAGGCATATACGAGCTCGGGCCAACGTGTGACCGCTGTCCAAATACGTACTCCAGAGGGAGCGGCAGTCTTCCACCGATCCTCTCCAGCGATGACTTATAGCAATGTGGTCTGTTGCTGAGCTCGGTGGACGCCACGTCAGATAGTGTCTTTCTTTATGTCTGAAATTTGTGCTAGCTAAAAACAGGCGGTTATCTGAGCATAGTTGTAATAGGCGATCACCGTTATCTGTGCGTTCAGCCGGGACTCTGAAAGTGCCACCTAAGTGCCCTTCTGCCTCACTCAGTCTACCCACTTGTGCATTGAAGTCACCTGCAACAACCACTACGTCCGAACGTTTGACTTTCGAGAGGAGGCTAGACGGTTTACGGTAGAACTCGTCCTTCACTTCATCCGAACTGCAGTCAGTGGGTGCGTAAGCAGAGATTACAGAGACAATGGCGAGTCTCCCTATTCCTTTTGGTCCTCCCTGTGCTATTCAGTCGGATAGTGCAGAGGCGACTATCAAATGGGATCCAGTCCAGGATGCGCTTTTCTTTCCATTAGGAATTCATCAGTTGGATGCACCTACACTCTAGGGATTGACGTTATTCTTATTGAAATGAACCCAGTCTCCATTGCTTCAAATGCGTTATTAACCAGGCCACTGAGGCACATGAGCCACCTCATTGTGCAACGGGTATGAGTTTTCGTTTATTGATATCTTAATTGTAACAACTGATACGCGTTACACGACAGATGACTCTCGTTGCCGGTGGATAACGCTTTGACGTTTGAAGCGACAGACAGTGGGAACGATATCACTCACTAGGGTGTAGGTACATCCCAGTTGATGAATCCCAAATGTGACAAAACATGAGTCCTGAATTCCACTGCTAGACGCGAAGTGAATTACAACATAGTGAGTGTATTATTCTTAATTAGTACTATTTTAACATCAACGTTGAGGACATAGTGAGGACTAAATTCTTTTTTTTTCTCAAGATTTCATACCAATTTATCTAAAGGGAAGTATATGGAGTGAATTATCTACTTACCTGTTACTACTATATGAAGTACGCTGACTGTTGCACTCCATAAACTGCTTTTCACAACAATAACTGATTAAGTAACGCTCTCTGACTATATATATTAAAAATGGTATTAGGTTTGTATCAGTGAGGCAAGATAACATTTTCGTGAGGTAAATGACTATCAAGCAATGCTAGTAAATGAAAAAAAGTCAAATGGTGATCTCACTGTTCTTTAAGTAATGTACGTGAGTTCGCTTCAGTCGACCAACTTTCCCTTACAAGCACAACACTGGAGTAATATAAATTTGCTATTAGTTATATTGAATCACTAAGTAGTTATTTGCTCCACTTAGCATTAATTTACAGCTTAAATTTTCAAAACCTAATTTCTACGTGCCGAAGTAGCATACTTTGTCCTCGACAGTAACTCTCTTAGGTGATATAGACTGTCTGAAAGTTTTGATAACTGAAGACAATATATGTGACAAACTACTGCATACACTTTCAGGTTAAGATGTATATCATGATTCGCGTGCAAAACTTAACTAAAAAAGATTTGTAGAATTGTATGTACTGATGTTAGGAAGATGTGAATATGCATAGGACAAAGAAAGTTTTGGTCACCAGTTCACTCAGCATCATCTGTAATTACGTGTCTTTCATAGAAGCAAGATTTTGACTGAAAATCACGAAACAGTTGTATCATCTTACCTAGATCCATTAGAATGGGATTTATTTTAGTCATATTAGTGACAATAGTACCCGTGATACATCTGCATCCAGCAACCGGTAGATATCCAGCTTTCACTACACTTTTCGGCACTTTAACGGTGAATAGCTGTAAAATTTCTGCTTCACCTGAAACAAGAACAAAATATTGCATGTTTCATGTGTAGAATTACGTAAAACTTAGAGAAATATCCCAAAATTGTCGTTATTATTTTTGACTAACAATATGGAAGTTCTGATGGAAGAGTGTACCTCGAGCAGAGCATACTGGTATGACAATAAGCCATTTATTGCAAACAGCGACAATTCAAAATTTCATACTGAAGTTAGTGCTGATAATATCGTCTAGAAGGACGATGAAAGCTTCACGATTAAACAACCCAGCTCAGAAGACAAAATACAACCAAGACCATCCACCTGAGCCACAAATAATCTCCACTATTTCAAAATATTATTATTATTCTTAGCAATACCAAATATTTCTCTTTTGTTACGGCCGTATATATATATCACAGACAGACAAAATCAACGTAGAACATCGTAAAAAAGTGCATCGGTTCAAGTTAACACCCTTCACAGCAGTATACCAAGAAAAAGAGGATAGAAAAAAGATTGACAACCTCTCAAGACAAACGGCTAGGACGTTTGGCAGAACGCTTTGAGGCACAGTCTAACTGGCCCACAGCAGTGCTCCAGGTACCCTGCATCCAGAAGGAACCTGAGTGGAATCTACATATCAGTCCTCCAACTCTCCTTGGTCTTGAGAGGGCTGTTTTGAGCCTGAAATGATACGTTGCAGCAAAACCTGACAGTTTTCCATTTGAAGGTTTTAAAGATGGAGGTGAGAAATTGCCGAGTAGATCAGTAGAAGTGCCAGGCAGTGTACAGGAATCAGAAGTAGTACTGTCGGACTGATCAACTCAATCTATAATGAAGGAGAGAGGTCCTTTTGTGACAACCATAGGAGAATCATGTTAATGATGGATCGTGGCTAGTATTGGAATCCAGGACGCGCATTTGGGACTCGTCAGCTGGATGTACCTGCTTCCCAGTGAGTGATGTTGTTCCCACCCGGATTCCGACTCGGGAGCGATCACGTCGAACGCCAATGCGTTATCCACTACACCATCGAGCCACGATAGCCACTTCTTGTGCGACGGGTATAGTTTTAGTATAATTGTTTTTATATCATACCGTCGTTGATTGGACCGAATTGATCGGTAGGCAATATCGAGGCATCCGCACAGGGGCCCATTTGCCAATAGAGACCGATAAATTCGGTTTAATCAACGACGGTATGATATAAAAACAATTAAACATAGAAGAATCAGTTCAAATAATACTGTGTTTAAGATACTAAGGTCCATAGTTATCTGATACCTAACTGAAGCTCGAGAACAACAAACTGGAGAAAACCAGGCAGGTTTCAGATCTGGACGCGGAGGTATCAACCAGATTTTCATCCAACGACAGATTCTAGAACAGACTTACTTACTGGCGTTTGACACGCCATACTTTTTGACGTGAAGGCGGCATTTGACTCTGTCGGTCGTGAAATGTATGGTAGACTTACCACATTAGCAATTTAGAAGTCGACCGGCGGGTACTAGACAAGAAAGGTTGTGCACATTCATCGACTGAGGTGGCTTGGACGTGTGTTGCGCAAGCCGACCCACCGCCTACTTCGATGTGAAACGCTGGGGGAAGTTAGATTAGATTGGAAGAGAGAGACCAGTTTATGAAGTCCCTGACTGTAGGTCTGGGTCGTGTAGACTGTCTAATTGAAGCCCTCGACACGATAGGAATCAATGGTGAAATAGCTGGAAATCGGTCACAATGGGGAAGATGTATTCACTCTTTGATGCCTTCTAATACTCAAGTGCTTCGACTAACCTTCATTTTAAAATCTACTCTCCTCCCATACACTTTTGTCTATTCTGATATGAAACTTTTTCTATGCACTTGTCCAAATCATGGTACTGTGAAGTGTGGGAACTTAAACCAATGCACTACCGTGTGAAGTTTCACGTTGACTTTGCCTGTCTGTCGTGATATTAAATGAATTTGAAAACACATGTTGAAGAAAACTTTCAATCTTTGGAAGACGTCAGAGAGTGAATGCATCTGCACCATTGTGACTGACTTTTAGCCATGTCACCAACATTAATTCTTATTGTCTCGAGGACCCCAATCACCCAGTCTACACCTCGGTACATGACTTAGAATATGAATCAAAGACTCCAAGAACTGTTACCACATCTTGGTTAGGCCATTCTGAGCCTTCTCCCATAATACAAGTCCAATCACCTTAGTTATTGAAGGTTCACAACTTTAACTGAGTGACTTGACTTCCTTGTCGAGAACCATTCACTTAAAATCAACAGTGATTCCACAATAACCGAGCAATGCTGCGATGACACCTTTACATATGCATGACGGCACAATCATAATAACTTGTTATCCAAATAGGAGACACATACATTCACGAAATTATAGATATAATATTGCCTGTCGTCTGAAAGAGGTTGACTTTTATTCGGATTGTTTACAAATGGATTTACTTCAATGTATAAAAAAGTTTATAGATGGGACGATAGAATCATGAAACTCTTGAGCAACCGCCAGATGACCTTGAACACACTAGTAGGGAAACGGTCTTTTTTTAGGTTATAAACACAGAAATTCAAAGGAATTTACAGTGCATATGGTTTTTAACGTTCACGAACGTATATTCATACTCCACTGCTTTTTCTGCTCCAAATAAAAGTACATATAATGAAGATTTTCATCTACGTGACCAGGTAAAAATGAACGACCTGAACTGTGATATGGAAGCAAATAAACCTTCATGTGATCCGCTGTCGCCTGTAATTCATTTTTATGAACCTCTGTAGAACGACTTAAGAATTAGATGTCAGGAATTTAAGACATTCGACTCATGACATTGGATATTAGTTTGGTTTCAAAGTACACAACTTGAAAATTTAGTCACAAAGCAGCTAATAACCGGCGCTAGTGTTGAAAATAGGACCTAGGCGCTATTTGTTCAGTGCTTCATGAGAATAAGTACTGCAAATTAAAGGGTGGGGTTTAGCGAGTTAAAATAAGGGCTGTGCTGTTTAGGTTTAGAGTTGTGGAACCTATTCATAAAGTGTACTCCAGCATGAACTTCTTGTCTAATTTTGTCCCTAATGGAAAATGCAGCCATATGAAAAATCCCACGGAATCAGCAGATAGTGTGAGACGATAACATGAGAAATAATTCCTTTTGATTCAATGGGAATCATCATAACTATAGTAAGTGAATTCAAGGTCCTTTAGTAATCCCTCAAGGACTGTAAGATTCTATAGTCCTAACAGTTTATATTACATAAAATTCCTGCTGGACGTAAAAGTTTTATATAATTGATACTTTTTGTCTACATTATTTTTCTATATTTATACTGAAAACTTTAATACTACGATTTGAAACTATGTAGTTTAGGTCACTTCTTGATTTCAGCAGCTAGGAAATATCACTACGGTTTAAATTAACGAGGTCTGGCGCATGATTCGACAGGTGGTTTAGAATACAATATCACTCAACTTTGATTAACACAGTGTAAAGCTATTGTCTAAAAAAGCAGTTGACACAATCAAAATTCATCGCGAAATTAAATAGTATAACTGGTCAATGTATATTGTGCAGCAAATATACCAACTAACCAATAATCTTTTGTGTTGATATTAATGGAAGCCTTTCATTGACTAGTTCCCGAACTTCTTCAGCCAGTCGGTATATGATATTGAATTCTTTAATTTCTACATTTTTCTTTTGGGCTTTATTTATTGCTTCAGGGAGAGCATCAACGTTGAATAGTAAAACAGTTGCTGCAATAGTAAAATTATGCGCTTAGGTTAAAATTCATTCAAATACTAACATGGGACAAGATTTAATCAACAACTACAATACATTCAATGAATTTAACTTCTATAACATTGACAAATAAGGTTTTCTGTTTATGATACCGCTGGAACTAACGACAATAATTATCATTCTAGTCAAAAGTTAACCAGTTATAAATGTACTCAGATACCATTTCCTGAATATGTAAAATTAAGATAATTTCAGGTCCATATAGTATAATGATGTATCAGTGTCGTTTGCAACTAGGTGATCCCCATTACAATTAACATACCTGAGAACAATGGGAAATGAACAAGCAGATTTGTGAATCGATTAAAAACCATTATTTCCACGACTTAGTAAACAAATAACGTGACCATGTGTTCTACTTACAGTTCAACAGATTAAACCACTCTGCAATACTTAGAAAGGTGAAAAATAATTATCAGGGTTCGTCTACACAATATTCAATCCCGCAAGAATGGCAGCATCTTGGAAATATACGAAACACACTGAAGTAGTTACCTGCTACTCTTAATTGTACTAGTTTATTACACAAAAATCAAGCTAAGTATTCAGTACAAACTACTGTCCTCCTTTAATCTATCCAGGATATATTATTTTATTCAGCTGATAAGTCTTCTCTATGAACTTCGAAACAGTCAACCATAGTTCAGGGGTTAAGTAGATGGTAAAACAAAGTTTCATAACATGATACCGCTTTCTTCATAGCATTTCGACCAGTTTGATCATATTTTTGACGGAAAACATTTGAAAGTTTTAAAATCAGAGATTATAAAAACTAAAAAAGAACGTCCAGTGGCAGGTTACTCGGTGCTTCAGTTAAAGTGGAAGCATATGCTAACAGTGACAAATCGGTTCGATAGCGTTGATCAACACCAGGAAAGTTCAAAATTACATTAACAAACTAATACTCTTTGAACAGGATGTGGTAATCGTTACTCAGTAGCCTAGTGAAGAATGCACTGGAATTTGAAGCGGTGATAGATGTGTCTGAATGTTGCTGGGAACACTCACTGAGATATGTAGGTACGCCTAGCCGATAAATCCTGAATGGGACAACACGCCTATCCTGAACCCACTGATAGTCAATATCAAATAGATAAGGTAAAGAAAACCTAAAGAAATGAAAATAATAAACACAAGATATCATTTCCGTAACAAAAGCTACGTGATTATATTGATGACAGTTTGTGCGTGGTAGAATGAGAATCCGAATATTGGTGTGATCATACACAACCATTTGATCAAAGAGTAATCAAACCTATTATAGTTCAAAAAATCGCTTTAAAATTTACTTAAAAGAAATTCTGTGTGCAGCAACTGTTTTTCGTTACCATACCGTAATACTTTTTTGTGAGAGATTCATGCTTGTCAGTTTTACAGTGGTCTAATTCCTGAAATAATTTGACTGGTCACTGGAGGGCAGCCAGTCTCATGTTGTCTAGTTCTGAGTGTTGACTGAATTCTGTCGATCATTTTGCAATGTGACCATCAAGCTAGGAAGCTCACCATTGCCGTGCTTTTTGATAGATGTTAGTTGGTTGACAGTAATCGGCAGGAAGCTCTGGGTCTAGGTTTCGCCCTTGTTAGCACTCGTCTGCAAGGAGTATCTGTGACCTGAAGGGAACTGGTGTCCCCCGTGAGATTCGAACCCATGTCACTCAGTGTTGCAGTCAGTGACATTAAAACTAAGTTATTCGGGAGGTGATTGAAACTCGGGTCCAGAGCTTCCTGCCGATTGTCTCCAACCAACTAACATCCATCAAAGTGCACGATGACGGTGAGCTTCCTAGCTTGATGGTCACATTGCAAAATGATCGATGGAATTAAGTCAGCACTCAGGACTAGACAACATGAAATTGTACTTCAGTGACTGATCAGTGTATCTAATCCAGTCTTACAGGTCAACTCCGGCCGAATAGCTCAGTGGTAACGTCGCTGACTGTAACACTGAGTGACGCGGGTTGGAATCACACACGAGATAGTAGTTCTCTTGAGGTTGCAGATACACCCTGCTGCCGACTGGCAACATCTACGAAACCAAGGCTTCCTGCCGATTATTTCCAACCAACTAACATCCTAAAATAGTTTGAAACACTAGTGACCCATTGTTAGTCTCAAATGCAACGATAAAGATAATGTATTTATTATTCAAACGATACTAACCTTTAGCACCAACCGCAGCTTCTACTTCTGATTCCGTCAATGGACCAATACCAGTAAGACAATATTCTATTTGACACTGGTCAGGACATGTAGAAAGGAGTGTTTTTATGGCTTCTAAGGCCCCCTGAACATCACTTTTAATTAGTAGAGGTAATGAAATTCGATCATGACTTTCCTCCCAGAAACAAGACGCATTTCGATTTTGTTTCTGAATGGATTTCAAGAAAATGAAAGTTAAATAGTGAAAGGATAAACTGATATTAAATGACAGAATACAATAACGAAATATATTAGGATATGTGTATCCTATTTATTAGTTAATATCAATTTTTGATACAGTTAATAAGACTCATATCTTATTAAAAAGATGCACCGCAGAAGAATATTCAGCACTAACGACAACAAAGTCAATGACTTATCATTTGTTTCTAAGATATATCTGAAATATTTCAACAGCCTGGTGCTGTTCAAGTTCTGTTTTTTCACCATTATTTTCCTTAGAAATACTAATAAATCAAGCATCAAAGGGAAAGAAAGCTGAAAAGTTTTCTTTCCTACGTAATATTCTTTCTATACTCAACACATTATTTTATACTTATCCCATCAATTCCATGGTTTGTTAGTGTCATATCCTTATTTATAACAAAAGGAATTGAGATCCTGGAAAATATTTGTAGCTTAGGAAGAGGGTTTCGGTGTTATTTTTTTGGCTCTGATTACACAACACGACCAACATCAAAAGAAATGTCTCAATAATGATATACTGTAGGAAAAAAAGCTAAAGTGGTTACTGAGACAATAGAAAACAAAATTTCCAGATGGAATTTTCTGAGGCTCTCCTTAGGTTTTCTTTCCTGTAAGTCAAAAGGCGAGGGTTTTATCGTAAACAGTGCTATCTGTAAAAGGACGAATATATTGCGCAGTAGTCTACTCTGTTCTAGAGAACAGTTGTGAAAAATGACCTCTGAAATTAAGAGGTTGCAGACTTTTGAACATAGATTTCTTCGTAGCATTGTGCGTGCATGGTAGGACCATAGAATAAGCAATTCTGAGACCAAGAGCATACTGCTAAAAAAAGAAGGAAATTTAGTTGATGAGAATTCGAACCTTAAAAAATGTGGTGGCTTGAGCATGTTGTGCACACCGAGCCTATACCAATATCGACGCAGATTGTTAACCGAAGTAGGATTGCGTTGAAAAGAAACTAAATATAGTCAGACTAAGACGTGGTTATATCCATGAAGTCTCTGACGATCTAAGTTGTGTAGCTGGTATCCTCAAGATGATAGAAATTGTTACATATTCTGAATAATACGGTTCAAAATCGCTCACAATGATGCAGATTTAAACACCCTTCCTCACTAATACGTACTTCTGATACAAAGAAATTAAAACTGTGAACACTGTTTTGTAAAAACATTAGTGTAAGGAACGATAAATCACGGAATTTTTTGCGTTGGTTCATACTAAAAATACAACTAACATTATCTCATTTGTTAATGATTGAAATTAACTTTCTATCAGTCTTGTGATAAGTAATTCAGTTGTATGAAAGTGAAGTATTTTTACAGGGAAGTATAATTCCTATCTGTAGTCTATGATACTATTTCCGTCTGTTAGCATTACTACTGAAGTGGTTGCGCATTGATGAAGATATTTTCCAGTTTAGGTAAAATATCTTACTCTACGAAAGAGTGAGAGCAAACTGCAACCATAAATAAGAAAACTATATGTGTGGGAGAAATTCTCAGTAACTGTAGCATATAAACCCAAAGTATGTAGAAAAGTTATGCATAGAAACACCACTGCAATGCAAGTGCATTAATAAAATCTGTAGAAAATTCACTATCATAATGAATGAATATAGCACTAAGATGAATATACGTACAGTTGAAAGTTGAATTATTGTGAAAGTGACTTCAATAGGAAAAAAGTGAGTAGCACATAGGAGTGGAAATATTCATCTAAAACGACTCATATGACGACCCACATACGGTTAAAATTTGAACAGAATAAGTGATTAGGACGGACTTTAAAGTCTGAGTAATACTAATAATGACTATCAATTAAGAAGCGATATACCTACCGAAAAGCGGCTCCTTTCACTACGATGGAGGCTTAAACGTTTTTGTGTGTATTCTTTGCGAAACTCTCGATAAGAACTCATTCGAAGATCATACGCATCTCGATCCTCTTTGGCTTTGTTTTGCATTTTAATATGTCGACGATATTGTTGAATTTCACTGGCATGCGACTAAAGTGATACGACAAAAGTGAATAAACATTATCAGCCGGAAACCTAAAGTAATCAAAAACTCAGTAAATCTTAGTGCATTGCAACAAGCACTACATCATTGAAACTGAAATAACTATCTTCACAATTTATCAGGCAAAAGCAGTATACTTCAAACACTTTAAATGCGATGAACTACATAGATGAACACTATGAGTCCAGAAAAAGCAAAAGTAACCGAATCTGTACACTATTGTTAACAGAATATGGTGGGAAGGATCATCAGGAATAAACAGTTACATTAGGTATACATTATATACACAAAACTTACTTTGGACCGCAATTCCAGCATTAGATTCCCTGCAGACGGCATATCTTTCCAACCTGCTATTCGTGCTACAAATCCAGGATAAACTGAGTCCACAGGCTCCCATGTATCATTCATCAACATTCTTGGGGTGCAGATTACTTCACCAGCTATAAGTGGACCACTTTTTGGCGACTTACGCAATGTCCCTTGAGTAACCAAACATGTAGCAACTTTGCTAGAAATAGACAGATTTATACAAAATAAAATATTTTTAGTTACTGAAATTGCATTTATCATCAAACGAAAGTTAACCAAATAGTGAACTGCTTAGTCCCTTAAGTTATACGTAATCATGAGACATCCAGTTTGAAATCAGCTGAAAAAAAACTGGCAATAGGCGATACTGAAAATACGAAATGATGGCAAATTACCAACAGATTTTATCATCATATAAAACACTGAGTTTTTTAACTGAAAGTTAAACAATCTGACCAATTTAAAATAAAAACTTGTAATATACTGATTCTATGAAATTTCACCAACTAGTTCGTATAGGTTGACAATACCTAACACGATGTTCAAGCGGATGTAGGGCGAAATTGGAAATAGTGACTCTATCCGGGAAATTAACCCCCTTCCCTTCGCGTCTGAAGACCTTACGATCGATATCTGTGTTAAAACAGCTACGATGCAAAACATGTTTTCTCGTTTCTCCACTTCTTTACCACCTCTCTTTCTTACAATATGAATCCAGCATACACTATTGAAAAATACTTGGAGTGAAAATCAAATTTGCATAGGAAACTATGACTAAATTATTGGAAGACGAAAAGTTGTCCATAAATTAATGATTTAGCATGAATGAAGATATAAATTGAACCAATATGAATTTTGAAGACACTATAGATAACATATGGTGCCATGAAAAATTGTGACCAAGACGGTGTTAAACACTTATCATAACCGAAATCGTCCACTTACGTAGTTACTTATATGCATACATTACAATTCCCGATGTAACCAATTTAAGAAAGTAACTGTCGAAACAAAATTACGACAGATAATCCCCGTTATCGTTTCGTTGGCATGGGATTCCGCTAGTACCCCCATAATGCCTCTCCGATTGGCTTAGCTTTCTCATTTAAGCACTGAAGTTGCCTGCTACTATGACTATAACTAGACGTTTCGCCTTCTGTTAGGAATTCGTTCTTTGCAGCATGCAACATGCAGTCGGTGGGTGTGTAGGCGGACATTACGAATAGGTATCGGTAGGTTCAAGATCCTTCTTAGTTCTTACAGACCCATTCGGCCGAAAAGTACATAGACGGCTGTTGAGTGGTATCCAATCGAGGAATGTGATTTCTGCTCTACAATTCAATGCGATGCCTACATCAGTGAGTTCACGAGAGCACGCTGTTGAATCTTCGGATACTCGAATTTTGGAGATTCACGGCTATGGACTGGTGACGTCAAGTTAATAATTCCACTCGGGTCTAATACACTTTTCTCAGAAAGACAGCATACATTCATAGCTTGAGATTCCAGAGTTTCGGCAAGTGATGTCTGTTACCTGATTTGGCATTGGGTTTGGACGTTAAAAGTCCCAATATGAAATCGGTGGCGGGTTCTTATGAGGCTAGAAATGAGGTTCCGATGGCTTTGATCATTGGCAATGGTCTCTAAGAGTGAGAGGTTGAGCAAGTTGCAAGAGGCTTAATATTATTAACAGGAAGTGAAGACGAAGGAAAAAAGTTGAGGAGGATAGGTTATGTTGGGTTGGGTCTTGTATACCACTGGTAGACAATTTTAGGCTGCTCACACCGTGGAAGGCTATTTTGCATGAGGTACTTAAAGGACAAAAAGACTTCTATGACCACAGATCCCACAGGACATCCGTTTTGCGGCCTGTTGCACAGCCATTTCATGTTAGTTGACATATGATTTGACAGGTCTAAAACCGGATAGACAAAATCCATATCGCCAGCACTGGAAGGCTCCAGGGCAGAAAGGTGTGCTACTTTAGAGGTTGACATTATCTAACCTCCCTTCCCCACCGGAGAGGTAGGTATTACAGGATGGTACTGTTAGTCACCCGCAAGGAGCACATTATAGTTGCCACAACCCATTCAGGTAGCTTTTCTTTCAGACCCCATCAGAGCGCAGCGATTTACACTACGACGGTAACTGCCTTTCATCTAACCACTACCCAACAGACCTTTCTGACATGGAAGGACCTCGAAGGAACAAGCCTCCCTGTCAGTGTGGCCCTTTGGGTCATTGTGATATGCAAGCCCGATCACCACAGGGTAGCAGCTATCGGTTGTGAACGCACAACGTACATGTAGATCATAGGCGATGAAAGATAAAACCATCACACTGCAATGATCACTTTAAAATAATTTCACTGTTTACCTGAGACGGTGGTATTCTTATTGTTACTGGTTTACGGATCGGGTTAACAAAACTAATAATTTTTTGGTGCTAACTTTGCCCCTTCTACAGTGACGCACTTGTTAGTATGATTCAGTGGAAAGAAATAAAACGTCAGTAAGATGCAGGATTATCTTAAGACGAAATAATCGGTCACTTTCTGGAGCGAGATGAACAAATATTCAATACACACATCCTTGGATTTTTGAAGAATTTCAAGGATCTCCCTAATTAAAACTCACGAGGTCGGTCACTGGAATCTTGGAGCTGAGTTTTGCTATGCTTGCTTGTATGGCCCAATCCGACTGAGTGAGAAGCTTTCATCGAATTTATGTTCATCCGTAAATTATGCATCTGATACTAACTATACATTATAATGAATAAAAACTAGTCCAACTCAATCCAGTACATGTCTAAATATTAGGATAGAAGCCACATGAGTGAAGTAGGTGGAGCGGCGTTTGAACCTAAAACCCATTGATTGTACGTCGATTGCCTAGGCAGACGAGTCACATTTCCCCATTTTAGCAAATGACCTGAGAACATCTTAATACCTCAGAAGAGTTGTCGTTCTCACTTGATGATTTCTTTCTCTTTTTGTTCACAAACTATTCACCCCACTAAGAGAACGTAACATTAGTTTCAGTTTCTAAGATGCTTAAGCTTTCGTAAAGGGAATTTCAGTGTTGATAGAGTTGTGAGGGCGGTTGACACTTCCCGGCTGCCCACACTAAGGAAGGCTATTTCTTCTTAAGGTACCTGAAAGAGATTTGTGTGACTGCAGAGCCCATCAGGCATCTGCTTGAGACCTGTCACATGCACCCTTCTGAGTATGATTATTTTGAACTTTTGTATTTTTGGGGCTGGATGGTCGAAGAGAAACGACAAATGAACCAACACCGCCGACCCGGCAGACCGTGGGGCATGGTGGAGTGTTATTTTTGGGGCCGATTTTTTCTAACCCCCCCTTCCACTGAGAAGGTAGCATCAGCATGGTACTGCTGGTCATCCAAGGGAAACACCTTATTGCTGTCACACCCCATCCAGCTAGCAGCAATACGACTTCGCCCTTAGAACCGAATCATAGTGTAGTAATTTACACCACAACGGTAACTGCTTTTCGTCTGACCACTATCCAATAGACCATTCTGGTATGGTAGGACCTCGAGGGAACAAGTGTTCCATCAGCATAGCTCGTTTGGGTCGTTGTGATATGCAAGCCCGACCACCACGTCAAGGTGGCAGTTACCGGTCGAGCAGACTTAATTCCTTTACGCAAGGAATTAAGTCGGGCGTGGTTTCACAGAGCTGAATTCTCGCTTACGGTTTGGACGTAGCATCTTGAAATTTCAATCTATGGATGAAGGAATACAAACACAACGCTTATGTTAGTCGTCTGTCTGCAGATTATTATCTGTCCCTTGGGTTCCTAATGGAACATAGGGCTTCACTAGCACGTCTCCAATGCGCTCTGTTCTCTGAAATCTTTTGAACCTGGCTCCACGACAACCCAGAAGCTGTCATTTCCTCCTCGCACGATCTCCTCCATGTCACCCTCGGACGCCCAACTCGTCACTTCCCATGCGGGTTCCACTCGAGCACAGCATAGCATAATTTCACTCTGTATTATTTAGAAACATTTCCAACTGAAAAGCCGCCACACAAGATACTGAAGAAGCAATTTTTATTTAAAATCAAAGACACAAAGTACTGCTGTGCAATGGTAATGGATGCAAATGTGAATATATATATAGTCTAAAAGTGAGTTTTCGTCTGGATATTAACACCGCTTACTCTTGATAACTAATATTCAGTTAGAATAAGCACAAACAATTTCGAGTATTCTGCTTTGAAGTGAGTAAACTTCATGAAATAATTCAAGTAAAGACAACAGAACCGGTAAAATCTACTTTGAAAAAGTTTATACAACTCATTGAGTAATATGATTATTGGCATGGTAAACTCTAAGCAAACTTGTTTTCTTGTTGAAACTGAACTGAACAAATACAAAGTTAAGTAGATAATCAATCAAATAATGTTTACCCAATTCCATGTAGTGTTTCAGATTCTAAGATAACACCTTCAGCCAATCCAGTACGATCGGCCTTTAACTGCATTATTTCAGCCTGAAGAACAATAGCTTCCAATAAGCCAGAAAGATTAATTCGGTTCAATGCTGATATCGGAACTGCTTGTACGTCGCCGCCTAACTGTTCCGTTATTACTTCATATGTAGCTAAACCTCGAACCACATTATCCTTTTTTTAAAAGAAAATGATACAAGGCTAATATTATAAAAATAATATATTTCAATAATATATTCACCGGCTTAAAAATCAAACCTTCAACTCTGTTCTATTTACTGGTATTTTGACAATATCGCTGACCATCACACAATAGGTGTTATTTATAGTGAAGTATATGATACTGTGGTTAGTTGCTGAGTTTAATGACATTCTTCTTTATCATTCTTTCCCAGTACATCGATAAAACTATTGTCTCACAAATGACTACGAAGTAAATACGAATCTACTAGGTATAAAATACTATCAGGTTATTGAGAATGAAAACAGAATTGACTGTAAACATTACTACTTATAACCAATCACATCGATTAGCTACTGAAATAGAGTTTGTTCTCTTAATTAAATCGTTTTTTGCACATCACAAACGGAACTATAACAGATTACTTACTGTGTAGGTGCCATAAATGAATAAAATAATGAAAGGAGTGGGTTAAACAGGAGTAAACTTCAACCTGATAACACCCAGATCAACGGTTGTGGTTTAGTTCCGAGTTGACTGATTCTAGATACTAAAATTTACCTTCAAATCAAGCATATAACATACAAGATCTTAAAGAATGTATGTTTATCTATAAGTTGAAGTGGTGACATGAAACAATAGATGCACGCAAAAAATTCACAACGAATGTGAAAGTGGATTGCAACTTTTGTAAGAAGCCCCATACAATACATGTGGTCAAAGGTAACTACAAGGTGTACAAACTTTTCGTAAATTCTGATGCAATATTCAAAGCAAAATAACACCCAGCACTATAAACATCTTATCCTGACACTCGACGATTATCCTTGTCAGACGTAAAATTACTTATTACAGGACTTCGATAAAGTATTTTAATATTCACTTCCAAAATTCGTCTTACTTGATCTAAATGTTGACTTTTGTTTACGCTCGTATGATTTTGTGATAGTAAAACAAACTTTAAAGCTCGGAAAACACCAAACAGTCAAAAGAGTGATTTTGAACGTGTTGTTTCCTCTAAGGTTGATGGTTTAGTCGTACAGCTTTTACTTTGGCTCTAAAAGCTTCACGATTAAGTCATCCACCTTAGAGAACACAGCACCAGCAAAATCTTGTTTTGTCTCCATAACTTATAATCTAATCTACACAGAAATTCCTTTTGTTGAATTGCTTGAGTGAACACAATTCATAGAGTAATTATCTATATGGTATAAGAAATTAACGCATTTGCTTGGGACAGAGGTAATCACTTTACTCCATACCATTTTTAAATGTTGACCAAAAAAATTCTATACATCCTGGAGATAGAATCGAGTGCCTTAAATACACAATGTTTGAGGTTGAAAGCAAAACTTCGAACCAGCATCCTTTTATCAATGTTCCAGTTCGAATCTTGTTAGGATCACCGTGTTCCTTGATAATCATCCAAGTACATATAAATCAATATACTCAATTAGAATAAAATGCTTCCAACTAGGAATTGTAATGAATCGTAAAAATATAGTGTCGAAGGAAAATGTTTAAGTCGCACATGTTATATCAGCCTTAGAGTATAAGGATAGCAAAACAAACATTTTAGTGTGAGCTTGAACAACAGGAGTTGTAACTCTATTTTTGATACTAAAAAACTCAAAAATTAAGATTGAGCATGCACAGAATAACGAAATAACTTGTTTACTTTCTATTCTCATATCATTTATTGGTTACTGGAATAAAAAAGATAGATATAATTACCAAGTTAGCTTCATGCTTGTCAATTTTATTGATTGCAACAACAATAGGAGCTGAAAATGTTTGAAAAAATACAGATAATCTGGCTTGCTATAACTAAAGGTCATTATATCTAGAAAACACGTTATTTGCAACCTGGAATCCATCATCTGAATATAAATTTACATCAGGGTGTAAGATAAAACCAAGATATCATAATGCAGTAGCTTACTGAATAATGTTTTGGTATTTAAAACTATGAGTGTTGCGTCCGAGTTTCAGTGGCAGCATCAAAACTCACGAAGTGCGATTGCGTCCAAATGACGAATCGCAGTTAGGGCAAAACACACTTCATAATTTTCAGTGCTAGTCATAGTCAAATACGTTACAGAAGTACGCTACTTCAATGCTAAGCGCCAATAAATTAGGCGACAATAAAAACATAATATAAGAGATGAATCCCGTGTTAAATTGCTTAGTGTATTTTCAATGTTATGCACTTTACCTAGACCGTATTCTGTAACGTGAATAAGGATATATTAACGCACTCAGGTAAACGTTCTAAGTTTTCCGATATTGAAAGGGTTAAAAAAGTACTTTTAATCACGACGAAAATTTTTTTAATTAACCATAGTGATGGATGATTATGTAAAAGATATTCCATTTTTCTATTATTTAGAATCTTATTGCAGAAGCGTTATCGTAGACAATTATTCACCGCAATGAACTAAGCGACGCTGAGCTTCTTAGCCGGGTGATCACACTACAAAATGATCCACAGAACCTGGTCATCGCTTAGGATTAGGCAATATGAAATTGGTTACTCTTCAATGTATGAGACTTCATGGATTTACATCCTCCATAGGTTTGGTCAGTATTAGCTTTATCCAAACTTACTCCAACTAATAGTGTCCAGCTAAGCGGAGTCTAGATATGTAGGACATTTGGCAGTCGCAAAACAAATGTCAAGTATACTTCAATTTGTTCTGGAGTTGTTCAGAAGACGCTACATTTTGCAAACGTTACAGTCAGTGTTGTCCAGTGATTAACTACACCAAATGCACCACCACAGCTCTAAGAATACAGTATCAATCAAGTCTGGCTCACATCTTAACAGAAGTATAAATTTCCCCTGGCACAAGGATATACAAGACCAGTAAGTCAGTACATATAAGTGAGACGGTAAGTTCAAATCTACGGATAAAGTATGCTACTTATGCTTTTATGGTAGTGCAATATAAAACAGTTAAAATCTTTTATGTCAACTCATAAAACATTTGGTTACTACATTATTTCACAATAATTGTATAGTTAAGAAAGATGCTAACATAATACTTTAATGGACTCTAGCCTTTACATATTGGGAATAAGCAAATTGTCTTTCTTTATTAATACTTATCATAAATTAATGTGAAAAAACTTGCTGTCTGTTTCTTTAGCAAAACGAATTGCCTCAACAGTTTGAGGTTTAACTCCATCATCAGCAGCGACTACCAAAAGCATGATGTCAGTCACTTTTGCACTTCGTAAACGGATACCAGAAAATGCTGCATGACCCGGTGTATCCAAAAATGTGATGCTACTGGAAAATGACACAGAGCTCGAAAGTTTACATCCAGCATTTTGTTCAATAGACGATAACGATACGGTGAATGCACCCAGATGTTGAGTAATGCCTCCGAACTCTTCATCTACAACTCTAGTGGAGCGTAATGTGTCTAACAATGTTGTTTTTCCGTGATTTACATGACCCAAGACGGCAACAATGGGAGGACGAGGTTCGCAATTTTCTGGAGGACATGGTAGTCTGAAAAAAGGAAACAAATAAGGATAAAACATAGATGCATTAGATATAAATATGAACATAAAATATCAGAGTTATCTTCGTCCCTAAAATATAGAATACGACTAAGATATTTTCAAACTGAAATAAAACAAAGAGGAATATTTGAGCAAGCAGTTCTTTTTGTAATGTCCTCCTCAGATCTACACGTTTGAAAGCCAAACAATGTCGTAGGCTCATATCTATTCTACCTACTTTGACTAAGGCAATAGGTTAGTACAAAACGTTTACACATTGCTTTTGATTTCTAAACGACCACACAAACACTGACTGAGGTTACTAAATCTCGATTCCCACCGCTATCAACCTACGGATAAACTGACAACAGCCAGTGAACAAAATATCGATAATATTTACCATTGAAACATTCAGAGTGATGGGATGGTGAAATCAAAATAAATTTAAATAGGGATAATGGTCTATATACTTGGGAAAGTAGACAGTTGAAACGTTTGAAAAGCTTCACAATTTAAATGATGAGAATAATATGTATGAAAGCGATTATATTTAAGGGCAAAAAGAACGCTTGAAGGATATGGGACATTTCCAGTAAAATGAAAACCTTGTAAAAACAACAACAGGCCAAACCATTTTTGGACACTAATATGAGAAATAATGTAACTAAGCAGCCATGTGCGAATTCGTGCACTAGATAATGAACCATACCTATTGTGTGGGGCCTTCTGATACTGTTTGGCTACTCAAATCTTGGTAGATAGAGCAAGATTGGAATCCGTAACCATTTAGTTGGAAATCAACTATCTATTGCAATATATCACAACTCTACAATATATTCGTATGAAAATAAGGCATTACTGGTGGTGGAAAATGTAAGGAAATGAAAGTGATTTCATGGATATTTGTATTTGGTGTACTCATAAGTTGTAAATATAGATTTCTACATATTCTGACAAGATTGACCTAACTTTGAAAGAGATTGGCAGAGGCAGGAAGTAAAAGACAAGTAAAAGAACCCCCTCAACATTTCCATGATCACAGTTCATATCATCTTAAGCGTTACTTATGCAGATGTTTTATTCACCGCTCATTTAATTTGTTGGTTGTTATTTTCATTTTACTAGGCGTCCAGTTAATAGAGATTTAAACTGTCCGAGACGTACAGGATCCTGAACAACCACTTTAACGCAGCCTTTGTTCTGAAGCGAAATAGATAATAAGTAATAAAGTAGTACGAAGTAATATGTTTAATGATAGATAATTCCCGATCCCATTTGTATTATAAGACAGAACGATTGACCTGGAAAATGATTATTTAATCAACGGAATGTCCACTCGCATGCCAAATAGTTAACGCAAAATGCACATGATTAGAGGTTATTTGATATATCAACAGTCATCCAAAGGTAGCTGGTAATTTATTAAACAATTAGTTTAAACCCTGAATGAATAAGTCACTTAGAGATACACCTTTACAGAAAAGAGCACTTTTGACAACAACACTCATGTGTGTTGTACGTCATTTCATTGAATTAGATATTCGAGCGTGGGGATGCGATCGGGATCTCGAAAAATATATTTTCCGTCAATCTGCAAATACACACTTTAATTTTAGTGACTGGCAATGCTGATTTGTAAATAAAGTATAGTCTAGATGGAAAGCCATGGTTTCCAGAGTGTATTAGAAATTTCTCTTCTACAACCATGCAATCAGCAACAACTGACTTGGTGTCAGTGAAACTCTGTGATGGACAATGTCAGTAAGAAAGTTTTAATAACATCGATGTTACTGGGTAGAACGAATCACAAACACCTAAGACATCCTAGTCCACTTCAAAATTTCGAACCACTTGGTTGAACGGTAGTCTGCAAGGAACTAATATTGGTGAAACAACTGATCCCATGACATAACCCCAATTCTTTTCAAATACTGAGGTTATATTTCAGCTATTTATCACTGATGTGTACACAAAAATTGAAGAGAATAACGATTTCAACCTTAAATGAGGCGATTATCCTATTGTTCGCGCAACAGAAAAACCACGTGCAGTGAGTCATCTATTGTGTGCGTTCTGCATGGATTGTAAGAATAAAGCCAAGGGCTTTCATACCGAAAACTCTTTGTCTTCATTACGGTTGGCCATGAAAATCAGCTGGACAAAACAGTCCCGTTAAATTAGCTCCCGTTGGTTTATCGTAACTCTTTCGAAAGCCTCTTAGGCGTCACAATCTTCTATTCCTCTACACAGTCAAGATAATTTTGAACAAAAACATATACAGTACTTCTTATCCAGCTTATTATTATTCAATACAAAATAAGTAATGATCCCGCATAGTGAGAAACTGTAACGACCGTTAACTTTTCAAGAACCTTCTTACGGGAGTAACAATTATCGAGATACAAATAAGTGTGTGTGGAAGGTGATACATCAAACACCTCAAAATGTAGCTGTGGCTGATTGGTTTAGGGAGATTAATTCCAACCAACAGGTCACAGATCCGAGTCCTGCTCCACTTACCGAGGTTCGGGCAGTCATATAGTGCTATAAACGCCGAAGAGATGTAACATACACGCTAAACTGACGGCTAACCTCGTACATAAGACCCATCAACTCCAATCCGGAACGAATAAAAAAGACTGAAGTGGGAGGGAGACTTTATTCCTCCAAAGATAATAACTAATTAGTCCAAACACACGGGTTTACGTATACACATGAGATACGACCATGTCCAGAAATTGAGATATTAACGTAGTAAAAGTAAGCACTAATCAATCAGCGAATTACCTTGAAAATGGGGGTAGGAAATGAACTACTGGCCGTGCCGTAACAAATGGCGTGAAAACGACAATCTACAAAAACTGTTTAGATTAGTAAACAATGTTCTGTGCGGAACTAGGGCCTTCTAACAGATAGTAACATTATCCTTCACACAATAGATGTGGTTTATTGCCTACTGAACGAATGAGCACATTTGGATTTCGGATGTTTATTACTTCTAATGGTAGCTACCTAGACTGCACAAACTGTTAGATTCTCCTCAGTAAATGGTAGGAGAAAAATAAGACTGAATTTACTTACTTCGGATATATATCACGGTCAACCTCTTCATCGACAATCTGATGCCTAAAAGCTGGTGTGAATCCCATGAGTCTTACTAGTGTTTCAATAATGCGTTTATCTTCCAGTACTGAATTTCAAATTATTGTGCAAAAATAATCATACTTGAACTAATATTTGCCTTCCTCTTCGTAACCAGTGATGAGTTGAGGGTTTCAAGGATTATATCGGTGGGTATTTTGGTGGCAGATGACAATTCCTTGACACTTATTCCCTCCCAAACCTCAAGTTCACTCTTTTTAACCACCTAAAAGACAATTATATACACATATTTACACATATATCCGTACTTACAGTTTTAGGAGCTTTTGATACTGAAGTATGTCTAATGGTGTAGCATGAACGAAGATAGAAAACTGACCGGTCAACTCTCCGCAACCCGATGATCATTCGCGGTGTTTTCAGCCCAGTATAAATGTTTAGATCTGTGGGCTAATTGACCGTACCAATGATTCAAGAATATATTACTTTCCAAATGGTCTATAAACCTTTAGGAGGAACAAAATGAACTGTCACATCCATGGACAGATGTTAGATAGATATTCATCAGTTCATTGACTTCATTGTTTGATATTTGATTCCTAAAATGGAATGACAGAATACCTTTGTCAATGCCTGGCTACAATTTAGCCTCTAAAACTTCTCAGTGGGTTGTGATCTTCTACAACCGGAAAACAAATTGTTAACAATCAAGCTTTGGGATGGATCATTACATTTTATACCAGAAGCATTATACTAATTCTCAAATAAATATGAGTTTGCAGTTAGTGGCTCTACTGTAGTAAATGTAATGGAAATTTCGTTTTGCCTTGTCTGAACAAATACGACTTATCATTTATGCAGCTTCATTAAGCTAGTACTGTTGACTGAAAATCCAAGGGCATCTAGTAAAAGAATCGTTGCTTTGAATGACTAGTAGAACTAACAACTTTCTTGAGCATAAAAACTGAAGTGGATTCATGTTTTAACCAGTATTTGTAGTCAGATAACCGTGTTTATCCACATAAGCAAAGCACAATGGGACTTTTCACTGTGAATATTAAGATGCAGTTGGAATGCATTACTTTCACGATTTAATATTAATATGTTAACCAAAAGTAAAATTAGTATGCGTCATAAATACAGAAAGTTCAGTTTCTTGAACAACGAATGGCCAATAATAAACACTATAGAAACAGACTTGATGGTTATGGGTCTTGTCTCCCCAACTAAATCCTCGGATAATTCTGTGGATAAATAAGAATGGTTGCACGATTGTCTAGTTATACATACAACTTACCTCAGAGTATTGTTTGTCGGAGATGAAGAAGACCCGAAAAATAACCAATAAAACAGCACTACGGTTATTCATATGACAAAGTTCCTAAGGGTCAGAAGCTGTATAGACATTTACAGACTAGTAGTTCAAGTTTTTACACTTAAAACCAGCTTTCCAAAGTAGACGTCAACAAAGCAAAGGTCAAAGAACTTAGACTAATGGAACCAGTCACAAACGTATTGAAGTAAAAGTGAATGAGGATAACGGCAACACATATGCGACAGTGACTTCCATGAAGAGACAGCATACATTCACCTACAGCAGTAAGGTCGGTTTAGACCTATTTTCATTCTTATTCTTCAAGCATCCTTTCTGGCTGTTAAACAGACGCCAGCATGAAAGCCTAAATCCTTCAGCATGGATCGTATCAACAGTCAGAAACCACAAACACTGATACAAAGCTTTTATCTGGCAACCCGAAAGAGTTTTACAGCCTATTTCTATTTCAGCTAGCTAAGCGCGTCAGGAAAGACATTTATTCGGTGTGCATAGCGTGTAACCCAGCCATCTCAGTCAATGGAGGCTTATATTCACCTTAATCTACTTTCTTTACATGATAATATTCAACTGACCTCGGTGATTCTCACGTGGTTGGTCCACACTTCACTTCGACTCGGAGTTATGATTGTCCAGGCCAAAAAAAGTAAACCAAGACCATACCGAAGAAAAGCACAGTAACATGGACAAAGCAATTATATAAAACACGGCAGAAATCTTTTCCAGAAAGTCAATAGCTAAATAAGTATTCCACGTACGCTTTCAGTTTGCAACGCTTCAGAAAAGTGAGGTGACTCCTTGGTTTTCTTTATCAAGCAATATAACTCATCATTTCATCTATATTGCCTTTCACGTGAAAAAATATAATGAACACTAGGATGAATTCCCTTTTCGCGTGCTTAAAGGGAAAATCACAAGACCAACAAACTGCTAACAAAAACTTTCCGATCTGCAAGCAACACAGACGCATAATTAAAACGAATCATCCATACACCAGTTACAGACATCACTAACCACCTACATAGGATTTCTTGACTCACCTTTAAAGAACGGTTTCCACTAGAGATAGTGATAATTTAGATAACTAAAAGGTCGAGTGCATGAAAAGTATTCAGTTACCGTTGACATAACAACTGTCAATTCAATCATTGGTGTCATACTTGTGGTCAGCATGCACAGCCTTGTGTATCACCAAATCGGAGAACTACGCACTAGCGACAAACACCTTTCTGGAAGGTGCCTCATACATCCAGAGAACTCACAGTATAGTCGCTTGTATGATCCATCCAACACCCGGTATGCCTGAAGCTAACAACTTTAGAAGTCCTACCTTTTTGTATTATATTGTTAACAGGGAGATTTATTTACACTACACAGAAACAAAAGAAATGATTATAAACTTCAACTGTCTCCTGTTTTTACTCCCAAAAGATAGGGACAACTCGAAATGAATCCCAGGAGTATCAAAATTGGAGAACAAACTCAGTTGCTATAACGCACAGGTTATCAAATAGGATGGCCAGTACTTAGAAGCAAATTCTTAACGAGTTGGTACTCTCTTGGTACTCTACGTAGAGTACCAAGAGATCGGTACCGATCGGTATCCACTAATCAACAAAGAACTGATGAAGCACATGGATTTGCGAGGAAAGTATTGACATATTCTCACACAATTTTATCTTTAATCAAATATCTGATTCAGTCGGTACGCATGCTTTGACCGTAAACGCATGAGGATAGAAACAGGTAAAGTAAATGCAGCTAGGGAAGAACTAATGACATGCACGTGAAAGGCGCTTTGTTTAACATATAAGCCCAGATATAAAAGTATGAAATTCGTCACTTTACGAGTGTGGCTACAGGGTGCTAGTCTCCGAAATCAATTCTAACCTGGAAAATGCAGTAACAGAATTCGCGCGAGTTAAGTAAAGAATTTACTGTCACTTTTCTGATTGGTCAGTACTATATGGCCCTCAGAACACGAAGGCGCTAGTTTCCAATGTCGTTAACCTGCAGGATTATAATCCTATATATATGTACATATATATGTTAGAATTTTGACCGAGTACTTCAGTTAGTACACGACACGAGTGAATAACATGGTCAGCGATAAGCATGTTTGCGGTCGTCCCAGCTGTAAATTTCCAGTGGATGAAGGTATGCAGTGTGACGCATGTGGATGTTGGTTCCACAAAGTTTGTACAGGATTGACACCAACCATGTACAAGCGTTGCAGTAAACCAGCTTCTCCCAGGTTGTGTGATTTCTGCTGCAAGCCATTGCCAACCCTCATCCAGGAAGCTGTTGAACATTTAACTATGAAAAAACAGCTATGTGGAAACGGTAGCTGTCATTCTAATGCGGTATCAGATGATGATGCTGCAATTGTAACCGTTAATATATCCGACACAGGACCTCTCGGTGGACTAATGGATGCTGGTGATCCAGTTGGTGAAATTACACCAGTCCCGAAGCGTAATAGACGCAAGAGAAAGCCAAGGGCAAATGATACACCAACCATTATGCCTGAGGATTCACCGAAAGCCTACACCTCTGGTAACAGCGTTGACTCTGTAAAAGTGGTCGACGAATCTACATGGATTTCTCCGAGAAAGCATCCGAAGAGACTGCCAAGGGTTATCACGGAGGATACTAAGCTTATGAAACCCTCAACACGCGACTCAAGGATTCCACTCCAGCGCCCAATTTAATCTTCTGGAATGTTGGGGAGTCATCACACAAAGACGCCTTAACACGTCACTGCCACGACCTGAAACTAGTCGAGTCGGCCATCAGACGTATTCTGCCTGAAAAGTCTAAAGGGGTGCACATCTCCGAAGTTGTTAGGCTAGGTAAGAAAACGGACGAAAAACCTAATGAGAAGAGAATTTCAAAGGTTGTTTTAGGCATCAAGAATGAAGTGGATGTACTCTTGAGTAACGCGTCCAAACTACGAAATTCAGATATCCGCATCCGACCTGACTGGTCCTTTTCGAGGACCGCATAAAAAGAAGAGGAGATGTTGCCGAACTCAAGGCCCGACAGGCCTGTGTTGAAAATGATCTTAATATAGTGGGTTTTCGGGTTGTGAGGTCTTGGAAGAGAATGCTTCCAATGCCTATATTAGTGGGTCATGGAACCCTTCCAACTCAATGAAAGTTATGTACACTAATGTTCACGGTATTGGAAGCAAAATGACAGGCCTCGAGACTCTAATCTGCGAACTAGGTCCTGACTTGGTAGTACTTACTGAAACATGGTTGATCAAGGATCTAGATATTACGCCACCCCTCGCAGGGTATTACTGTGTAAGGACGGGTAGGGTTGCGACTCGCAGAGGTGGTGGCATACTACTATATTTTAGGGGTGACATCCACTTCTGAAGCACATGAATGCGGGACCTCTGAAGTGGCCAGTTGCGAGCTGAAGTCAAAGCATGGTTTCTGTACTATCGGGGTTATTTACCGTAGTCCATCGTGCCTTGTGAATGACTTCACGCTAACCTGTATACGTAACTGGAGTAGATGTAACAGATGCCCAATAGTTAAGGATCTGAATGCTCCACACATAAACTGGACGGAGCTAAAATTCTCACCACCAGGTGGTTCCTTCGAAAATGACTCACTTTTGACGGTCTTAGAATCTGCTTCAGTCAAAAACGCAACATGTGTAACACGTTACGATTTTGAACACAAGCCATCTTTATTAGATTTAGCTTTAACCCATCAGCGTGAAGACATTCTGGATCTGCGATACCTCCCCCCAATAGCTAACAGCGGCCATGTGGTACTAACTTTTGGTTTTCCGACCAATGAGTTTGATTATGACACTGCCCCCTAGACCTAATGTATGGCGCGCGAACATTTCAAGCACAGAGGATTGCGCAATCAGTAAGGATTAGACTATCAACAAGGACTCATCAATTGAGAATGCATGGAATAGGTTTAGAACTCTATTTGAAGAGGTAACGAAGCCATTTATTCCATGTTCGACTGCACGACGATCCTCACATCACCCTCCGTAGTCTATTAAAAACATCAAGGGACTGTTAAGGCAGAGGAACCGCTTGTGGGAC